TAATCATTGTCTAACATTATTTATTACAATATAGTAGAAAATATTTTTCCAAAACTTAAAATCGCAAAATTGCAGGGCAATACGCAGTGACTAATTCTACTGGCGGTCCGCCTTTATAGGTTATAATCCATGGTTTTAAACTATTTAAAAAATCGTCTAATTATTTCTTATTTTTGAATGGATTTATATCAAACCATGTTATTACTATATATAAAAGTATCTTTTATTGACATCGTGTCAATCAATAATATTCCCAATGAGCTCGATATATTGATGATGTTGCCAGTATTACTCATCAAGCAATACTAGTATGAGATCAATCAATTAAGGCCGCGTAAACAAACAACATACACTACTGGCAAAGGAATATTAGCAATAGGAGGTTTTCAATGCGATAAAAAAAGATAGTAAGGCTGCAAAATACACTGCAGTGCAACAGAGACGGATAAAGTGTCTTTTCCCTACCATCGTATAGGGGAAGTGATCATAGAATAAGTGATACGACGAGAGAGCCCCTGCGAGAGGAGGCGCCGGGCGGGTCTTTAAGACGCTTGTGTGGGGGCTACCGCCTACTAATAGAACAGAATCGAAAAAATAGAAACAGGACGGACAGTGTTGCCATTCAATTAAATCGAAATTATGTTGGCTTGTCAAAATCCTAAATCTTCTAATCCCATTATCTTGCCTACTTAATGAATTATAAATAAAGTACGAAACAATTTTACGAATGTTTTCTCTAGGCACATAACTTCTTTCTAAAACGAAAAGTAACATGCAAAACTTTGATATCATTTCTAAAATAGCAAGTGCAATTCTATGAAATGGCAATACTGTACGATCTTCCTAGCAGTCGCCCCGACACAGTCGGTCGGCGGCGGCGCTTCACAAAGCCGCGGCTGTGACAAAGGAATTAGGCCGAAAAAAACTTTATAAGGAGTAGACGAACAGGGTTGCCGGGTTTGTTAGATTATAATTCCATACGAGAACAAAATTCTCGGTAGATCTTCAACAAAAATTAAAAGTACAGAAACGAAATAAAATATAATATTTAAGTCCAAAATTAGCATTCCTATGTGTCGTAATAATAGATCACTCAAATAAAATACAAATATAATAAATATAACAAGAATTAGAAATAGCTAGGTATATTATTTAATATTAAAAAAAATATTGAATTAAATAATATTAATATATTAATAAAAACATATAAAACTATAACAAGTAGGGATAGCAGTCACAAATTAGTGTAGCAGTCACTTTTTACCTTTGTACAAATTTTGATCAGTGATATCTAAAATTAATTTCATTTCAATGGGAAAGCTGTAGCAACTCTCAACTCTTTTTTCATATTAATATATTTTTTTGACGGGAAAATCACTAAAATATTTGTCCGAATTTAGGTTGTCTCTTAACTTAAATTTTATTTTTTGGGGGAAAATATGAACCCATATTTTAACTTTAGTAGATGAATGAAATAAAATATTTTCAAAAGATATCAACTTTTTCGGGCATGTCGCCAATACCGCGCCTAATAAGGAGTAATAAGGATTTTTAGGAATATCTCTGTAACTCTGCAACTAGACAGAACGATGACCTGTAGGTGTGTTATTACTAAATAAAATTTAATGAAATAATAATAAAGTCAGATTATACAGATTCCAACGCGGCAGTCGCTTAATTTTTAGTCAAATAAGTCAGCTTTTTTTAAAAGTGCTTCTATTGTAAAAACTAAAGACGCAGTTGAATATATCGTTAGATTTTTCTTTAAATCGGTAGATCGGTAGTTTACAGACGAAACCGGTAGACCTGGCAACTCTGTGATGAACTGACGGGAGTCGGAATAGCGAGGTGCGGAGGCGCGGGAAGGGAAATAAAATAATGGCGATAAATAAAGGGCAGGGAGAGTGGAATAAAGGGCTGGGTATCATGAGTGGATGGGAGGTGGCGGAATTTCCAAAATTTGTTATCTTATTGGAGTTTGTCTAAGTAGACAGTCGTAGTGGAAGTGGAAACGGGGAAGTTGTTGTCCATCTCTGTTTAAGCATAGACTTTTTATAGGCGTTTCATTCCAATGCATGTAATTCCTATGCCTAGAGATCCATTGCCGGGCCTGTATACGATAATTTGATATACCTACTAATTCATTATAAAACAATTAAATAATAAACATATTGTAATTATAATCCTGCAGATTGAGTGAAAAGTTTTGTTCCTAAATATCTACGATAAATAATAAACACGTGTTCGAATATTAATTCTGTGGAATATAAATATAACATAAAACGAGATGTAATTAACGAAATATCATCGTAACAACAGCTATTTTATAAACGTCTAGGTTTACTTATTTCACTGAGATTTATGAAAAAAAGTCCTTTGCCTCGGCGACAGATAGCGCCACGTTTTGGAAATAGCTCAAAACGAAACAAAATTGAACGAGGCAACAAGAAACGCCAAAAAAATCCTTCCCACGCCCTCCGCTCGAGTAGTTTTCAGGCGCTTTTAAGAATCGAAAGTAGGTCGAGGCAAACCGAAGTTCCTTTGAGGGTTCAATTTGATCGAGAAAGATTGCCAAGTATACCACTTCCTCCTGAATCGGTGATTACTAGGTGGGGTACGTGGATGGATGCTGCCTATTTTTATGCTGATAATTTTGATTCCTTTAAAGACATTATATTACAATCTCCTCAATCTGCTTCCCAAGCAGTTAAAAAGTGTCAAGAGATTGTGAAAAATGAAGAGAAAAAACAAAACTTAGCGTTTATCAACAAACTATAGCTTTGTGAGCACAAAACTCGAAATCAAGGATCTTGCGCTAGCCGATGCAGTGGAAATAGTTGAGATATTTAAGACGGAGATCTCAAAAGTACGTGGTGCTTCAGGTTATAATTTTTAATAAATTGACTGACGTTTTAATTAAAAATACAGGGTATACATTTTTAACTCAAATGGCAAATATTATTCAAGGAAACATTGTTGAAGATCTCATTATTAATGCCAGTTTAATTCCGAAATTTAAATATGCCCCAATTACAAGTGTAGATGTTGAACGAAGTTTTTCCCCATTAAAATATACAGGGTCCGGCAATAGTGCGTCGGGCATCTGTAGCTCCTAGAATAAAAAACTTGAGAAGTTTGTTTAAGTGCAAACCTAAAGTATGCATCAGGATGTATTTCAGGAAAATATTTTAACTTCTATAGGGTGGCTAAAAAAAGTGTGAGTGGACCTGGATGATTTTTTTTAATTGGAACACCCTGTGTATTATTGCATTTTTGGCTTCCTTTCAGATCACTTTACATGACCCTAAGATATGAATAAATATATTTCGATAGTTTCAGAGATATTAAAAAATAAATCAAAAATATATATTTTTCAGCTCTTCTTAAAAAAAATTATTAAAAATACAAGAACTGTTCTGAAATCAAAACTATATTAGGTATTTACTTTAGATAGTCTGTTCTTACTTACTATAAATATGGTAATCGTAAATCATACAGGATGTTCAATATTCTACGCCAAACTTTCTAAAATATAAAATAAATTTTCTTTGTTATTTTAAATGGAACACCCTGTATATTATTTTTTTATTAGATGGAGAGTTAAAAAATGAACATTTTTTGTATTTAGAGTACTTCAAAATTTTTAACGGTTTCGCAGATACGCGCAGTATTATTTCATATGGCGCTTTCAATGGTAAAATACGAAAGAAAAATCATTGGGTGGCTTTGATAAAAATTTACTGTAGAAAATGCCATATGAAATATAAACCCGCAAATATCTGCGAAACGGTTATAAATTTTGAAATACTCTAAATACAAAAAATGTTCATTTTTTAATTCTCCGTCTATTGAAAAAATAATATACAGGGTGTTCCATTTAAAAACAAAGAAAATTATTTTATATTTTAGAAAGTTTGGCATGAATTTTGAACATCCTGTATAATTTACGATTTTCATATTTATAACAAAGTAAGTACAGACCATCTAAAGTAAGTACTTAATATAGTTTTGATTTCAGAACAGTTCTTGTATTTTTAATAATTTTTTTAAGAATGGGCTGAAAAATATATATTTTTGATTTATTTTTTAATATCTCTGAAACTATCGAAATCCATGCATTCATATCTTAGGGTTATGTAAAGTTATCTGAAAGGAAGCCAAAAATGCAATAATATACAGGGTGTTCCATTTAAAAAAAATCATCAAGGTCCACTCACACGTTTTTGAGCCATCCTATAGAAGTTAAAATATTTTCCTAAAATACATCCTGGTACATACTTTAGGTTTGCACTTAAACAAAATGCTCGGGTTTTTTATTCTAGGAGCTACAGATGCCCGACGCACTATTGCCGGACCCTGTATGTCCTTAGTGATAGGAGAATGGGATTTTCTGTAGAAAATTTAGAAAAACAGTTAGTTATTGGTTTATTTAAAAACGATGATTAGTTTATTTAGATTAAGTCCTAATTTCATTTGTTTTTGTTATTTCAATATTTTTTATTTATAGTTTTTGTTATTTAAATATTTTTTATTACAAAATATTAGGTATATAACTCATTATAGTTTAGTTTGTTCATATAAGTGTATAGTTGTTTTTCTGTATAATTATTTTTAATGCTCGTTTATTAAAAAATATTAATATTTTTCATGCTTTTTTAAATTTACGTGCATATTTATATCCTTATTTTCGAAGTATTTTGGGCTTTTTTAAGTGCTTATTTTAGGCTTTTTAATGCTTATAAATCCGCGCTCTAGTTATAACTCAAGAAAGGGGGACACAATTTAGATCGCAATTTAGGGGAACTATAAGGTCGCGGTGATCAACTTCCCCCCTCCCATTTAGTCTACAAACGTAATAAGGTCCGCGTTTCATATTTTTAAGTTTTATACTCTTCAACCTTATTCCCTTTCACACATCTATGACTTTGTACAAACTACCGATTAACGAAACTCAAGTACGTGGTGATTATTTTTAACGAATTTTCTTGATTTTTTTCCAGATTTCCGACCTGCGACTGATATTTCCGAATGGTTCGCTTATTTTCCCGTCGTTCCCTAACGATCGCTACAGCCACGAAGTGCACACCGCCATATACAGGTGCAAGCTAAAGAGTCCCCTGGGAGCCATTCTCAGTAGAGAGGTCCACGTTAAAGCAGGTAATTCCAGTTACTTTACTTTAAACGGGGTTTATTTAACTTCTAGAGCAATCTAAATAAATTAATAGTTAAGTTAAAATGTTAACATTAACCTCTTACCTTAACGATGTTAAATTTATATCTTCAGTTGCACCACCCTATATACAATATAATTTTCTCTAAAACGTTGTGAAAATTTGGAAAAGTATAAACGGGATTGGCAATTTTAGAACAAGCAATTTTTTTTATGAAGAATACATTTTTTCCAAAGTGTCAATAATAAAAAAGTTTGTCCGACAATCCGGGAACATACTGTATATCAGAAAAGTGGTTAAAACCTGGAAGCACAGAATATCTAGCTACGCAACAGAAGCCTCGTTACATGTATAAAATTCTAGGTAGCAAAAGGAGATAGGCTTTAAAAGCCTGTCTCCTAATCAGATATTTTGATGTGGTAGTTTCGCTACTACATAATAGAGGGCAATAAATTTAAAAGAAAACAGTTTTCTACAAACAAAATTTAAAAGAATTTTGTACAGTGTTGCCATTGTCTAATTCAGATCGTAATACTTCCTGATAAAGCCTACCTTCAAATTTGCTACATCATTTAAACATATTAAAATAGATCACAGATGTTTTTTTCAGTTTGCCATGTTAGTTGGAATTAAATCTTATGAGCTAAATTACAATCACTTCCTGACGTTTGATTGAAAATTGAATCCTGAATTTTCATTGTAATTCGGCGACAATATAATAAGTATTGTTCTACTATTATGATAACACTTCCTGACGTTCGATTGTGTTCATACCAAGTTCATATCATATAATCGGGAAAAAACGGCGTTAGCAATAGCTATGAAATGAATATCGCTGTCATTTTATATGTAAATTTATATGGGAAATGTTATCGATCGTCCTTTTCCAGCCAACTGGACGCCGTTTTTTTCAGAAGCATATCAAATGATACCATAATATAGTACTATATTACGATACATGGCGTTCGATTGGGCTTAAACTTGGTATACTATATCTTCAGTGACATTGTAATATCATGGTACCATGGAGCATATAAAGTGGTACCTTCTATAGTACCATATTTGATGACATAGCAATATTAGGTACATGGCGGCATTAGGGCTTAAACTTGGTATACTACGTATTTTCGGTGACATTGTAATATAATGGTACTATGATGCATATCATCTGGTACCATAATATAGTACCATATTATGTACATGGCGTTCGATTGGGCTTAAATTTGAGATACTACGTATCTTCGGTGATATTGTAATATTATGGTACCATGGAGCATAATAAGAGGTACCATAATATAGTACCATATTACGATACTATTTCCTGGCGTTCAATTGGGCTTAAACTTATTATACTACGTATCTTCGGTTACATTGTAATATGATGGTACTATGATGCATATAAAGTGGTACCTTAATATAGTACCATATTTCAATACCATTACCTGGCGTTCGATTGAGCTCATATTTGATATATACTTGCGTATTTTTGATGACATTGCATTATTATGGTACCATGAAGCATATCAACTGGTACCATAATATAGTACTATATTACGTACATGGCGTTCGATTGGGCTTAAACTTGGTATACTACGTATCTTCGGTTACATTTTAATATGATTGAACTATGATGCATATAAAGTGGTACCTTAATATAGTACCATATTACGATACCATTTCATGGCGTTCGATTGCTCTTAAATTTGGTATACTACGGATCTTCGGTGACATTGCAATATTATGGTACCTTAAAGCATATCGAGTGGTACCATAATATAGTACACTATTATGATATCATTTCCTGGAGGTCGATTGGGCTCAAATTTGGTATACTTGCGTTTCTTTATAAAGATTTGTTTAATTAATAATTTTAATTTATTTTACGAATTTTAATTTATTGTTCGATGTCGTGACAGCAACTTTTATGCCGAACTAATATATTATTAATTGTACCTGTGTCACTTTTTAAAATCTACCTAGGTCTATATAAATAACGTGGCAAACGGAAGAAATTTGTTATTATAGTATTTTTTAGTCAGTTAACATTTTTTGTACTGCATTTTAATAAATTATTTCCATTATTATTAAACTTATATTTCATTACTAACGTTCCAGCATTAATAAATATCACTATCCATCGCCCTGTATATTATTAATTTTAAAGGTAATTAAATTTATTTTCTTAGTTAGCATTATAAGGTAGTGTATATTAAAAATGTATATGTTTTGTAATAATATACTTAAAACTATTTTAATAGCCAAAGGAATAATTAATATAAGTGTATCTGACAAGAAAAGAAGAATAGAAAGAAACACATACTGCATTATACACAATAAAAAGAATGGGATGCCAATTCAAGTCTTTTTGAATCTGGCAACTGTGCATATTTAGCCGAGCTATAAGGCCGTCGACGAGCCGTCGATCCAAAACCGAAAGTTCAAAATTTCTAATTATATTCTGATTATGATATTGTCGCGCCATCTAGTATTCTATTTGTGCAATTTTAGCTCTTTCATTTCGAGTATTTTTCTGTTGCGTAGCTAGATATTCTGTGCTGGAAGTGAATATCATTTTATTAATACTTACAACAATAAAGCATATCAAAGATTCTTCGTATCTCTGCTCTAATATTTCGATGGCTTATAGAAAGTGATCTGGTTTGGCTTGAGGGAATGTAATTGATAATTGAGAATCGTGTGTATTTTTTTCTCAAATTGGAAAATATGTTCTTACATTCCACGTGGTTAACCTTAATTCTAAAAGGAACTCTAAATAATTTATTTTATTTTCAATGATGTTACCTAAACCGTACCTCTGTATGGTTGCTCAATTTGTACCAGTACGATTTAGGAAACTAACAGGTCTAAAGGTGCGTTTAGACTTGAGCACGCACGAGCTGAGCGTACGCGAACGGCATTCGTTCGCGCTCTCGGCTCCGTTTAAATTAAAAACTTACTTTTCGACGAATGAAGTGATCCACTTGTGCGCGAACAGCAGTGTTGTGTTGGTGAACGCACGCACGTACGCGCACAAAACAAATTGCCGGTGCAAACTGAGCGTTCGCGTACACATAAAATCCCTTTGAGCACCGACCAAAAACCGACACTAGACGGCTCGCGTTCGCGGCGGCTTGCGCACAGTCAGATTCAGAGTGAGCGTACTTGAGCATTCGCAAAGGATCAGTGCGTGCCTGCTCAAGTCTAAACGCACCATAATAGGGCAACTATTAAGACCTGCCATGTGTGCACTCAATCCGTGTGTGCACGGTCTTAATGTTCGCAATATCACAAACATCCAGTCCAAAAAAATTGTTAAATTTTTTAACTTGTGTAAGGTTTCAGGGTATGTTTTCCTGAATAGATTCGATTATTGTTTAATAATTAAGTAATCATTTTCATTGTATATTAGACAATCTATTTAGAAATGTATAATATAATTTAGAATACCTCTAACATCATCTTGCTTTCAACACCTTAGGCAGTTTGTCAAAGTTTAGCATTAACAAGGTAAGGATTATTTCAGACAGATCCGAAACTAACTCCTCTGGCGAACCGTGTCAAAATATATATAAGAGAAGCTTATTGTTCTCTGAAATGTGGGATTTCGCTTCGTAACCGTAATATAGGGCAGAGCGGTCGTAAAGTGCAGTGCCAAATGAATCTTGGGCTTCGTACGATGGTATAGTTAGAATAATTGTATCATGTGTATGGTATATTAATAGCAAAAGCCATATAAACTCCTGCTGTAAGGAATATTGAACATAGTTTAATTTGAATTTCGAAATATTTATTAAGCATTTTTATTCATACACCATCTTCTTTTTTACGTGCTGTCTCTTTCGTGGAGGATGGCGATCACATTGGCAAAATCTTCACGATTCACGGCTTTCCTTATGAGTTCTTCAAAAGTTAAGTGAGTCCAATTTCTGATGTTCCTCAGCCAAGATAGTTTCTTCCTGCCGAGACATTTTTTTCCTTCAAATTTACCCTTAACTATTAGTTGTAAAACGTGGTGTTTTCCATTTCTCAATATATGCCCTAAATATGATGTTTTTCTTATTTTTATTATATTGAGCAATTCTCTTTCTCGGCCTATTCTGTTGTAAACTTCGGCATTTGTGATGTGGGCTGTCCATGGAATTTTCAGCATTCTTCGATATATCCATGTTTCGAACGATTTGAGGTGATTCATCTCTTGAACTTTCAATGTCCATGTTTCTGCTCCGTATAATAGAATGCCACGTCCTTTTCTAATTTGAAGTTCAATAAAACACAAGTTTACAGCCGGGTGGTCGGGGTTCAAAGATCTTAATAACAAGGCGCCACGAGATTATACTCTATGAACTCGGCATAAAAGATGTTACTATTAAGTAGACTTCAACACTAACCTCGAACTGTTGAGTGTAACTACCATGAACTTCAAATGTTACTATAATTATTTAAACTTAAGTAACTCTAACTTAACTATGAGAACTACTGTGAGCTACGGTGTATAGCTATGGGGTGGCTACAGCAGGGTACAGCAGCTCGGTATACTGTCACTGGCGCCCACGGATGTTAGCAGAGGTACAGGTGTAAGGCAGTTGTTGAGACTTCAAGTGGTGAACATAAAAAACCCTAAATAATATTAGTTGTCTTAGAAAAGAGCCTCAATTATAGAACAAGGACTAGCACAACGTGTAGGAGTTAATAAACGTAATAAAGAGGGACTAATTAGATCTGAACTTTACCTCAACGAGGGTTTATGATGTCCAACGGGTACCTCTACACGGACAACAGGAACGGATGGAATTATGGACTGTTCTGTGCTGTACGGTCTGGATCGGTCTTCTTGCTCTACAATTACGAACAACCAAATAAGATCTAAGAAAGATAACACTCAACTAATGTTTCTACACCACGTGGGCGTGGAAAAGTCGAAAACCAGTCAACAATACGAACAAAAATCAGTTGAGCATTGACTCAGAATAGGCAGAAGAATTATAGCATACCTTCGAACTCTACTCAGGGACTTCATGGGCACGTACAATCGGAACAAGGGGTGAAAATTCGGCTATTTAATCCCTTGACGGAAATTTGGTCGGTGCTCCATACAAATTCAACAAAATCCAACCACGTCTGTGACCAAATGTGTTTCGGAATTCTTAGTCCTTCTCTAGGAAGACCTGCTAATTATCAACAGGGAATGCTTCATGAAACAGGCAGCCAGTTCTTCACACGATGTTCTTCGGTCGGGAAATACACAAGTGATGCAAGGATTCGATTTCCTTCACAAAATCAGATTTCACAAAAAGGCAAAAATAAAACTCACAAAAAGGCAAAAATAAAAAATGATGTTCTAGAATATTTTTCCACAGCCATATTTCATATTCGGTCAATGAACGAACTTAACTCAGAAATTCCCACAATTAAATGAACGAATTGCACACTGCGATCCACATCAAAAATAAACAATTTAACTACGAAATTTTATCTCATAATTAAAATTTCAATAACCAAAACAAAGGATAAATAAATCCAAAAACATCTGATTTGATCTGACAGTGACAAGTGACGGACAGGTGATGATCAAAGATATAGAGAGCTCGACAAAAAGCCTACTAGCTGGTGTGCCCGGTCCAGTGACAATTCATTATCAAAATGTAGCTGTAGCTGTATAATATCGCGGTGTATATCGGGTTGCATAATTTTAAAATTTAAATAAAATAATATTTAACAATAAAATTATAGTAAACATGATGCAAAAATAATAGTTATTCGCGATAATTTATGAGCTAGCACACAGAGGTCGTTCCTCTAGTAGTAGTTACACCTAGTTCTCAGCTCAAGGTCCAATCTGGGGTTCTGGAAAACGTTCTTCATTTTTAAAAATGCATTTCTGGCTTGTTCTATTCTGGTTTTTATTTCCACGTCGTTGTTCAAGGTGTTAGCTATCCAGGACCCCAAATATTTGAACTTGTAGACTATTTTAATTCACACACCACATTTTCTATATTTCATATCAATAATTAATCGTAAATAATTACGTAATCGAAGGATTGTCACGGGGTTTCTAACAGGACACTGTCTCCTCAACGAACACCTCAGTAAACTGAAACTGAGAAACAACGGCGAATGCAGATTTTGTGGGGAAAATGGGGAAACACCAGAACACCTTATCACTGAGTGCGCCGAGACGACGACCATTCGTGCCATGAACCTTGGTACGTCTGATGTCGAGGATGGAGAGCTGGACTCTGTGGAGCCGGCTCAGATACTGGCTTTTGTTAAAGCCCTGAGACTGTATGATGAGTTATAACTCGTTATAACTCAAGAAAGGGGCACACACAATAGAGATCTATAAGGTCGCGGTGATTAACTCCCCTCCTAAACATTCTACATTCTACGTAATCGAAGGCGCGATTTTTAAATTCATTGTTGCCAACCATTGACATATTCGGCCCGAGCTGATTAACTGAAATTTAATTTTCGCGCTGGGGATTCAGGTGGTAACTCTGTTGTAAAAAATGTCAATTTGCCGCATTTATTTATTATTATTTTCTGACATTGTCATTCGTTTTGACACTTTAGTGTTGTATTACGAGTTTTTGGTATAAATAAATAGTGTTATGAAACTTTAAGCTTGAAAATGTTTACCAGCAGACCTTGCAGTCGAACATTGTTCTTTTTAGAAACCTCTTTTAGTGTGAAGTGTACAAGATAGCTTAATAGCCGTAAAAAACTCATCGCAACTTTATTAGAATATTTTGAACGGGATAGCGGTAGTAATGGCTCTTTATGTCCTTTAAGTGCTGTTAAGAAGGTGAGTTTTGTTGGTATAAATAATAACTGTTATATATTTATAATTCATTTACTTTTGTTTCCTGAAATATTTTGATTAAAAGAAAATATATAAAAGTGGACAACTCTGTGCCGGTCAAGCTCAATCAAGTGACTAAAAGTTTATTTTTGTATGAACTGTATAACAACTGTGAATTAATTTAAAAACTTTAGTATTCCGTAAGAAAACCTATTAACGTTTAATATATTATTCTATTCTATAAGTAAGGCAGAAAACTGTTTTAAACTTGCAGAGCTAAAAGGTTGTTTTGTTCCGTTCTCTTTGTTATTCTAATGCCAGTTTGAATAAAAGAAGCAAAAGTCCTTTTAAACACATTTAGTTTTTAACTTTTCAATTTAGCTAGATAGATATTGTCTACTATTCCATTTTGAATTTTATCCAAATGATTACATTTCTATGGACTATTTATAGACACAAACTAGTCGATAATAATAATTTAAGAAAGTACTGTACGATCGAAAAAAAAACGGCGTCCAATTGGTCTGGAAATTATGATCGATGACAATCCCCATATAATTTTACAGATTAAATGACAGGGATCTTCATTGTATAGCTATCGCTGGCGTCGTTTTTTTCTGTCATGTATTTTCTCATTATCATTAAAGCCCTTTGTATCATTATCATAATATTACGTCGTGCCTATGGCAAATATTGCCGGTTGTCATGAGATGTTTCTTTGCAAATCTGATATTTGTCATTTTCAATATTATTCTGATATTTTTTTGACTAATTTGAAATTAAATCTGCATTTTGTTTAGTGCAAATTGGGATCTTTATTGCAATAAAAGTCAAATCCACTAAATAGTCAAAATGTAGCAACTTGTCTCGTCTCTACTCTATTATTTTGAACAGGAAAGAGAGCCTGACGAGTTTCATTAGCTGTTAAACTGCGCTAGAGAGGTAAAAATTGATACTGTCGCTTAAGTTTTGCTTACATTAAAATTAGGTGAACAAACTTCTACGACTAATTGAAACTACTAATTTATTCCACTGATTTCGAGGTTTTGAATGAAGCTTAATACTTTAACTTATTCAACACATCGTATCGCCCTGTATATTATAGTTGATGTGTTTCTGTTTCAGTGATTAAACAGAAGTACGACATTCAGGTTCACGACGAGTACGTGATCGCCGGCAACACGGCCGTGCTCAAATGCAAAGTGCCGAATTACGTTTCGGACTACGTTATGGTAACGTCCTGGATCCAGGACGAGAACATCAATATTTACCCGAATACGGATATCGGGGGCAAGTACGTAGTGTTGGGCAACGGAGACCTGTACATAAGCAACGCCGGCCCGGGGGACGGGTACAAGAACTACGCCTGTCGCACGCTGCATCGATTAACAGGTAAAGTTAACCTAAGTTATTTTTATTTTTATTTTGTTGCTTATTATATATTATGAGTTGGAAAGTATTTATACTAAAATTTATGGAAAGCTGGAGTTAGTTTTCATTCTTCCCGCATTTTTTCTTGTTTTTTTTTTGTGAAAGTCAAATGTTAAAGCACTTAGCAAAATATAAACACTCAAAATCTCACTCAAATCGGAATAACGGTTCTTAAAATATCTAAAAAAATGTGTTTTTTTTTACAAATTAAGAACATTTGTATAGAGGAAAACTATAATATTCTTTGATAGAGGTAAGTTCTGTTCAATGAACTTATTTTTATTCCAAAAATATGTAGTAGTTCCGAGGGGTGTCTCACTATTGGAATTACCTGTACATTTTCTTGACAGTCGCTGGCAGTCATTGGCAGTCTCATGACAGTCGCCTATAATAATTACATGGCAGTCATAGGCAGTCTTCTTCATAGTCATTGGCAGTCGCTTAGCAGTGGAAGGATATTGTCGCGACCTAGCTGGGGGTTGTTTGCTAGGGTCGCTATACCAGGTTCTCTCTCTCAATCAAAACAACCATTGAACAAAATGTGCATTTATTTAATATAAAGTTCACAGTATAATACAATTTTGGGGAATGCCAAGATTTTACGGTTTACTTAAAGAAGTACTTACAGGAACATCTTCACTCTGCGCTGTCTTCTGCTAACGGACTGATAACGCGAATTACTGACCGTAATAATGCGACTCACATCGACGGACTAACTTCCTCGACTCTCTTTAGCATACATTTTTATATTTTCTATCCCTCGTGGTCATCGCCGGTTACGTCGTTCAATCTGTTTTCGTCTAATTACATTCACCTGGCTATGACCATGAGGAAATCGAACTTTGGTAGCCTGCGTTTGACTATCGACCCGAGATTGTTGTATTTTAATTGTTTAATTATCAATGTTATTTAAAAACATATCTGGGTCGATGTCATGCAGGTAACCGATCTCTTGGGCCTATATCAAATTGGTTTACTCGAATTATATTTTATTTACTAGGATTATATTATTTGTGTTTTTTCCCCAATTTGATCTAAACCCAAGTTGACATCTATTTAAGTCTTGACATATCCCCCGGGCTTGGAGAGCTGGTCCCCAGCGATAAAAAAAATATTCTATAAAGACTTAAATAGGAAACACACAATAAATTCTTTACAAATACAAAATAAAAGTTAATTACAATGCTACAGTGATCCTGAAAGTCATGAAAATAAAATAAAAAAAATATATTTTTATCGTTCACTCTTTAGTCCTGTACAATAATAAGGGTCCTACTCGATACCACCCGTATTGAAGAAGTGCGTCGTCCTTGTACGTTGCGTCCTGTTGCGTCCATTTCAACCATAGACTTTAACCGTAGCTCATATCAGTTAAGTAATGCACACGCCAACACTGCCTTCGCCTTTGTTTGTCTGGTTGCCTTCTTATCCATCGTATACTTCTCTCCGTCCGCGCGCTTTGTTTCAGTGTCAAACGGGCGACGGCCTTTTGAAATTGCTGGAATCAGCGGAATACTGGACAATTATTTTTTTCTTTTCTTCATTAGTGTACTGTTTTCATTCGAGCCAAACAAAATTTACTTGTTAATATTTCTTGGTTTTCTGGCTTCTCTGCGGTATTATGGGTTCAGTGGCTTGTTACTTCAACCATCCAAATTAGTTTTTTCTCCAGGCTGGTTATTGCTTCCATATCCGTATCCAAAATTTCCATACATCTCCAATCCATTAGAATTCGAGGCAAAAAGGCGAGCGGCGTGTTTAACATTTACTCAACTGAACAGAGCTTGTGATGCTGGAAAGTTTCATCTTACTGGTGTGGTTGGAACGTGTTTCCAGACAGCAACTCATTTCTTCCTCCGACTTCTTAGTGTTGATTGTGGCATCGGCAGGTGTGATACAAAGATTCATGAAGGATTAAAGAGTAAGTACGATATTTAATTCACATCTCTAATATCTAAAACAGAATAACATTTACGTTATCAACTATTCTTATTAATTCCCTATGAAATATGTACAGTTTATGTTTGTCTTAAATATTTTTTGAATATGCATTTGCTCAAAAAAAATATATATAGTTCTAATTATTTGCTGAAGTTCCTTATATTTATAAAAAAAATAAAGATTTAAAATATGACTTTACTTATTACTATTTAATTAGTCAAGCTAAGCACTTTGTATTATTATTTATATTTAAAAATAGCCTCCAACTATTTGTACTTCAGCAAAAGTAGAAGAGTAAGTATTTATTATAACGTTTACATTTTCTTTTCATTTAGGACGAGGGGAAAAATTATATATATATGGCGAAATTCATCAAATTCTTTCTTGAGAAACAAAAATCGTTACGTATCTTTTTAATTCTGCCTACTACATTACATGTCCTTTATGTCCTAAGTGGTGAAAGATTGTTTGGGAAAAGTCGCGTGGCTTCTAATAACATGTTTTGTCAACATGGAAACATATACAATAAACAGTCTACAGAAAACAACACAGCACAAACAGAACAACATACATACATATTGACCAAACTATCGCCCAGTTTATTTTTCTTTTTTATTACTAACATAAATTTTAAATAGTATTGTTTCTGACTCGGGAAAAAAATAATCAAATTCAACTAGTACCTCTAAAACAATCACGGCTTTTTAAAAAATAATGGGCATCCTAGGCCAAAATAGTCACGTGACGTTGATACTAGGAATAAAAATAACAACAAATCAACTAACAAATATAATCCGAGCAGTTCTTTAAAACTAACGTAGCTATTTAATCCCTCCACCAGGAGCTGTAAATGTAGTAGGTTTGAGTATACTTTACCTCAGCTTACCTTGAAAGTATTTCTGTTCTTCCTTTTTTTTTAATCCTTATTTTTGCTCAATGTTAGAAAACAAATAATATGTCACCTAAAAATACTCAAAAATAGATTAGTTTCTATCAGTCTCTTGTTTTTTTTTAGTAATATAATATAAACGTAAAAATATTCTTAAATGCTACATTAATTAATCAGTATCCTTTATCGTGATCCATCGTACTTGGCTTAAAGATTCAAACTTCAACTTTAAATATGACTCATAAGCATCGAGTCCAGGGAGGGTGGCTAGGGTGGATAATGATATCCTTCGCCATCTTGGCGTTTGGCCTTTTGGTCATCATATCCAGTGTCCTAGTTGTGCAAGAAATGGCATGCTGGGGTCTAAATTCATCACGAGTTTCTTCTCTTGGAACGTTTGTTTTACGATCAAGAGAAGAAGGAATCCCGGCAGTACGTGTACATTTTTTACCCGAGTGAGACACCCCTCGAGTAGTTCTATCTCCACAGAATATTGAGACACCCTGTATAGGCCAATCAAATTAGAGGGGTCACTTGAAAAAAAGTGTTTGAAAGCTAATGATTGATTTGATTGGTTCATTTGACGGGAAAGGGTTTCCTAGGTTTGCACGATTGCTCTACCGCCGCTCGACTCAGGAGGCCCAAAAGATAGCAATATTTTTTTAATGAAAATGAAAATGTGATAATAACCGAGAATAGAATTAATTAATAATTAATGAATTGAGCACAACGTTATTTGGCATTTCATCTATAAATGTTGTTAATCTTGAAAACCTTTTTACTTCAACGATTCCTAGTTAAAATTTATCCAGAAACTTACCCGTAATTATATATTCGCGGAGCTTTTCGTTTATTGTTCCAGTGCTACGGCCACAGCGAAATATCCAATTAAATTAGGTTGTATTAGTGCGCTCGCGAGAGTCGATGTCGATTTCCGCTAACGACCAATTAAGTTTCCAAAATTGAAATGTATTTCGTGTCCTGGCGGAAGTTCGATGACATCTGCGACGTCATTCCGACTTATTGCGACCGTTGGAATTAATGCGCAAAGTCTAGATTGTCACGGGAATGCCCCGGTGAATTCTACGGGAAGATAGAAATGATAATGCAATGAATAATATGAAAGTGTAGAGCTATGCTAATATTATGTAATACTTTTAACAAAATTTTCACTTTTTCTGTAAATTTGAAATTTGTAAATTTACACTTTCTATAAATTTACAATTTTTCTGTAAATTTACACATTTTCTGTAAATTTACAATTTTTCTGTAAATTTGCTTTTTTCTGTAAATTTACACTTTTTCTATAAATTTACACTTCTTTGAATTTACGCTTTTTCTGTAAATTTACACTTTTTCTGTAAATTTACACTTTTTCTATAAATTTACACTTTTTCTTTAAATTTACAATATTTCTGCAAATTAACACTTTTTCTGTAAATTTGCAATTTTTCTGTAAATTTAAACTTTTCTTTTAATTTACGCTTTTTCTGTAAATTTACGCTTTTTCTGTAATTTTACACTTTTCCTACTAATTTACACTTTTGTAAATTTACACTTTCTATAAATTTTCGCTTTTTCTGTAAATTTACACTTTTTCTATAAATTAAACTTTTTCTGTAAATTTACACTTTTTTTATAAATTTACAATTTTTCTGTATTCTGTAAATTTACACTTTTTCTTTAATTTACAATTTTTCTGTTAATTTGCACTTTTTCTGTAAATTTACACTTTTTCTATAAATTTCCACTTTTTCTATAAATTTACGCTTTTTCTTTAAATTTGCAATATTTCTGCTAATTTACACTTTTTCTGTATATTTGCAATTTTTTTGTAAATTTACACTTTTCCTTCAATTGACGCTTTTTCTGTAAATTTACGTTTTTTCTGGAAATTTACACTTTTCCTACAAATTTACACTTTTGTAAATTTACACTTTCTATAAATTTACGCTTTTTCTGTAAATTTACACTTCTTCTCTAAATTTACACTTTTTCTGTAAATTACACTTTTTCTGTTAATTTACACTTTTTCTATAAATTTACATTTTTTTTGTAAATTTACACTATTCTATATATTTACACTTTTTTTTTAATTTGCAATTTTTCTGTTAATTTGCACTTTTTCTGTAAATTTACACTATTCCTTTAATTTACGCTTTTTCTGTAAATTTACACTTTTCCTACAAATTTACAGTTTTTATAAATTTACGCTTTCTCTGTAAATTTACACTTTTTCTGTAAATTTACACTTTTTCTATAAATTTACACTTTTTCTCTAAACTTACAATTTTTCTGTAAATTTACATTTTTCCTGTAAGTTTACACTTGCTATAAATTTACACTTTTTCTGTAAATGTACAATTTTTCTGTAAATTTACACTATTCTTTAAATTTACACTTTTCCAGTAAGTTTACGGGTATTCTGTAAAGTTGCAATTTTTCTGTAAATTTACACTATTTCTGTAAATTTACACAAAAGTGTAAATTTACATGTAAATAAATGTGAATAAAAATGTAAATAAATATATTACAATGCAAATTTACAGTTTTTTCTGCAAATATACATTGTACCCCAGAAATAACAAGTATACAAGTATTTTAAGGCGTGATAGATCTCTATAAAAGAAACATATTTTCTCTTTTTCAAAATAACAGAGTTATTTTACTTTGAAAATTTCCAAAAAAAAATATTTTTTGCTTAAATTTTGAGAACCACTGGATCTTTTCTGGATTTTCTTTCTTGTAAATTTAATCTAACTACCCGTGCCATATTTTCAAAAAAAAAAATTTCGCGAAAAAACCTCAGGCGTGTTTATTTCTCGGGTTGAACTATACTACCAGTTAAAATATTTGCACTTATTTCTGGGACACCTTGTATAGTTTCTCTGTAAATTTAGTTTTTATGTCAATTTCTGCCTTGACAACACAGAAGAACGGAGACAGAAGTTTGATAACAACTGTCAATTCGATTAGTCTCAATTTTTGTCTCAGTCATTCTAGATTATTCGGTCACAAGATAGACAAAAAACTGACTTATTTCACTTCACTGTTGGGCAGTACGAAGTTACTACACAATTTTAAGTATGTTATTATTATATTTTAAGTATGACCGTACTGTAAAAAATTATTATAGACTCTAGTAAATATATACCAATTTATTTTTTACAGGTGAAGTTAAAGCTTCAGTATACCCTGGCCGTATCATTGTTACGGAGCCCAAAGGCAACGTTCAACCAAGAGTAACCGTAGACAAATTCAAAGCTACCAGAATATCAGTGGGAGATGACGTGACCTTGCCTTGTGTCGCTCAAGGCTATCCAGTACCCGGATACTACTGGAAAAAGGAGTTAGATGGCCAAATGGTTCCCGTAGCCTTGGGAGAAAGGATTACGTTGCTTAGTGCTGGTTTATTAAGAATATCAAAGGTAGATGCTGCTAGATAAACACCTTGTTGATTTTTTTTTTGTTTGTTTTACTAATGTTATTATTATGATTGATTTTATTTGTGATGACTATGATACAGCAATGATTGAAATAGATGGCTATTCTGATTTTGCTTGTTTCAAAAAAAACTCAAAGTTAAATGATATGATTAATTTTTGACCAATGACTAAAGAATTCAAGGACATGTAACGCCCATATACGGGCTGCAGCTGAATTCGTGATATTAAACCCCATTTTTTGGAGGTAACGAATGAGTCGACAGCTGGCAATTAGCGACAATTTTAGCGATTTTTAATAGTCTATGTGTAGTGAATTTTGTATAAAAGTTATTACAATCGTGATTAGTTGTTCAACTTTTAAGTGTAAAAGCCGCAGCGATAAGAAAGAGCCAGGAGTTACGTTTCATGGGTAAATAAACAATTCACTCCACCTTTTTAGCGTTTTCTTAGTTTTCTTATTGAATTTGATCATTATTATTCTGATATTATGTGCTATACGTCGATACTAGTTTTGTACCTTTTGTTAACATTTTACTACGTTTTTTTTTTCGTAATTAATTAGTATGATACCACCGCATTCACCATGTAGAATGTAGAATGTAGAATGAGTAAGAGGGAGGGGGGGTAATCACTGCGACCTTAAAGATCTATTATGCCCTCCTTCCTTGAGTTATCACACAGTCTATAACCCATCATATCCCTGTTGTAGAGGGGACAAGGTATTTCCCATCCTCCTCTGACAACAGTTCTTCCTCCAAGGGTACACACCCTTCCACAGTTGGAGTTTGCCCTTCACAGTCGAGGAGCTTTCCTCCGGCTGAGGAACCCGTGAGGTGGAGGCTGGAGGATCTGTCTCCATTTTCTCCACCTCTTTAAATTGGTCTCTCCTTAGACCTGATACCGGTGTTGTCCCGTATCTATAATAGAGGATATATCCCTCCTTCTCTATTGCCTCCTTGGATTTGAGGCATTCACCATAGGCGTAGTCAAAACATTTTTAAAAAAATATAAATATCTCTTCAAGCAGCTAAGTTAAGAAAAATATGTGTCACGGCACTGTTTGGTGGTATGGTAACAATTTGGTCTCGGGTGGTATTTGTCCTTGTATTCTTTAGTCATTGTTTTTGACGGTATTTAAATTCGTTTTCCCTAATAATGTTAGACTAGTCAAAACGAGATGAAAATTAAATTGATTTAATCTGAAAGTTTTCTAATGTAATTATTGAACAAGTGGTATTAAAAAATATAGGTTAGGTTACACGCTAGTAATAAAGTGTGATAATATACAGGGTGAGTCTTAAATAAGTGCAAATATTTTTAGGATTTCAGTAGATCTCCATAAAGGAAACATTTCAAAAGGAGCCATTTAACTTTGATAATTTCCCAAAAAAAGTTTTTTGATTAAATTTTGAGAAAGACTGGATTTTTTCTGGGTTTTCCTTCTTGTAAATTTAATCTACTACCTATGTTGCCATATTATCAAGAAATTATGGTTTTTAACTAAAAAAATTCCTGAAATTTTTTCAAAGAATTCCCAATTTTCAATTTTTTTCGCGCAAAAAACCTCATAATCGTGTTTCTGGAGTCGAAATACACTACCTCTAAAAATATTTACACTTATTTTAAGACTCACCCGGTATAAAACACATATTATTGAAATAACTACATAGACTACTTTAAATATTTTTTAAAGGGGTTGATACAACTTAATCTATATTTTAATAACGCCAGCAAAAAAAACGTGACAAGGGTGATATTTATTATACCGCCGGGATAGATTAGATGCCTCCAGGGCCCAACTGCTCGGGATAGGGTAAAAATATTACCTACCTCTAAATATATTATAAGAAAAAAATATAATTTTTTTTATTAAAATTTTCTTTATCGATAGGTGCGATAGTTGCTAGCTCAATCTATTTTTTGAGTTTACTTATTTCTCTTGGAAATTTACAAATTTTGGAGATGTTGTTATCAAATCGACATATTTTAATGATTTCTTCATTTAGAGGTTTATTTGCATTAAATTACTAAAATACTATTTGTTTAAATATTTTTTTATGTGCCTCTAGTAAAAATCTATTAAAAATGCAAGACTTGCAAGAGTCTTGCAGCAAGACTAGGACCAAGACTACTTATTAACTGTAACACCAAGGCCAAAAGACCAAAGGAGTCTTGGTCTTGATCTTGCATTTGCTCACCAGATTCCATAATTAGCTATTATGTTTTAGATCCGCCTAGAAGATCGAGGTGTCTATATTTGTTTCTCGAACAACAGCGTCGGAGAAGAAAGCGTCAGGGTAACCTTAGAAGTCACTTCGCCTCTTTCCGTTCACGTACAACCCCAAGTCCAAATAGTAGACGTAGGAAAAACAGCTCACTTCCAGTGTATTATTAATGGTTATCCAATAGCGAGAATCAATTGGATGCACAACGGTAAGAAATTCGTATTGACAGCTATCAAATAAATAAGGAAAGTTAAGAAATTTGAAAGGATTTTATCTGCGTAATAACTGTTAGGTATATTTATTATTAATTTTAAAAAATCAGTTACTAATAATTTAACCCACAGTACTGATAATAATGTTATTAATGGAATTATTGCTTTATTGCAGGAAAGCCAATTGCTCCTGATAGTAGAGTTGAGGTGCTAAACGATCCACCAAGACTGACGGTCAAAGAACTGACCAAAGAAGATCGTGGAATGTACCAGTGTTTTGCCAGTAACAACTGGGATCAGGCTCAGGCAACTGCTGAACTCAATATGGGAGACGCCAGTCCAGAATTGATATACTGGTCAGTTTGTATTATTAAGCTTAAATTATGGGGTAGTACTGGTCAACAGGAAAACATTATGCGCATGTCCAGCCGCCTGGCAAACGTGGGAGAATTTCCAGCAACCATTTTTTGAATCCGAGATGCAATGATGAATTTTTACAGCCATTAGAATTTTTAGCCCACCATACCAACGGGTATGGTGTCTGTCTGTCTGTCCGTCTGTAACACGATAACTCAAAAACCGCTAAACCGATTTTAACCAAATTTGGCACCAAAATACTGTGGCACCCCAGAATCTGACCATTAGTTTTTGGTGAGGGGTTGGTAAGGGGGTATGGGAGGGGGTTAAAAATTTTAAAAAATCGTAACGCGGTTTTCAATTTAAGATTAGGAATAATATTCGCAACAAAATTTGTAATAACATCAAAATCAGTCGAAGTCGCAGTTTTTGAGATAATTGATTATTAACATATTTTAGTATGGGCGGCTATACGTGCCTCCCGGCGCCAATTTTTTTTATACATATCTGATTATATTCATCGCAACAATATTGATCAACATTGAATAAGAAAAATCGAGCCAATTGAACGATTCAATTAAGTTATATCGAGTTCAGCAGTTTAAAGATATTATTTTTAACTTTTTCTATTGTGAATTTGAGTGTACGAATACTCCTTATTATCGTACTCAGTGTACGATAATAAATAAATAACGTTTTATTGTACAAAAAGCTAAAATAGCTTCATCGACAAAGCATTTACAAAACAAACAAAAGCGGAAAAAATATACAAATAATAAAAAATATCATACAATTCAAAAAAATTCAACAATTCAAGTAATTAAAATCACAAATGGAACATACGTGGACATTGCAGAACACAATTGTAGTCATTTAAGATTTAACCCCCATTAAACGATGTAATAATTTGCATAATATTAATCGTAGTTATTATAAATAAATCAACTTCTACAAACTAGTTTCTAATTTTCTACATGTTCGAGAGAGTTACCGGTTACCACCCTCCCTCTTGCACAAATTTATTTTTCGTTCAATTTTATTTATATCTGTTTGAACAGATCTTCTTTTATCTTATCAATATTGTAACGATGAATAGATTAAATATTTAAAAAAACAGAGCCGGACTTGAAATTAGTTTAAATGAATTATGTTAAAGTTACCGAAACAAAAAAAAATCCGTATTTAAAAAAATTAAGTTGGCTTCTGTATCTCACAAATTATCAGCTAATTTGAAAATATAATAAAGTGGCTACGAGAATGTGCAATTAGTTTTTTGATTTTCTAAAAAGTAACGACAGGAAAAAATAAAATGGATTTTCAAAAAAATCCGTTTTTCCAAAAAACTCAGCAATCCTCGAAATTTTTAAAACTTTTTGATGGTATCTCGGTGAACGTCACAAAGCGCAACTTTGCCCGAATTTAACCATGTTTGTATCTATTACGGTTACCGAAATACCAATACTCGTATCTCGAATTTGTAGTATCACAGATTATACAGATTATAATCTTTGTTTTTTCTTTATTGTTTTTCGTGGTTCCAATTTTCGGAATCGGGCACTAGTTAGGTGACTAGTTTGCGCACATAGCACGCCCACTTATGGCCTCTAAAATTGTGCACAGCGCCTGACCGGCACAGTTATTAGAGGGATATCGGAAAACCGAATAGCGTCATCCAGTATTTACGCGTACCTTATCATGGTTACGATATGCGCGAGTCAATTTTTAACGCAACACCCGCTAATAACGTTACCCCCTGACGTAATTTGCGGATCAATTACACCAAGCGCTATTTCTAAATAACGTTTAAAAATTGCTTAAATGGGCATGTGCGGGTACATTTGACAACCGGGGCCGGCCGGCGAGCGGCGAGATCTTTTATTTTAAGTTATGTTTGAATTGTTTTGAATTATTACTTTAGTTTTATTAGGTAATTTGATATTTAAGTAGCTGGGATTAGTTTTAATTAAATAAATATGACCCAAAATATGGATTCCACCTCTTCCAATATTAAAGAACCTATAAAGAGATTTACAGCAGATGACGACTTAGCCCTTCTAAAGGTGCGTATTCATTATCCGCACGAACGAACGAACGAACGAACGAACGAATGAAAGTGCGGTATATTTAGACGGGGACCGAACGCATGCGGCCGTTCGTTCGGTCGTGCGCTCGACCATCCGCTTCGAGTCCGTACATCAAAGGCGTTCGCCTGCGTGCGCTTTCAGATTTAAGGTGCGTATTCATTATCCGAACGAACGACCGAACGAACGAACGAACGAACGAACGAATGAAAGTGCGGTATATTTAGACGGGGACCGAACGCATGCTGCCGTTCGTTCGTTCGTGCGCTCGACCATCCGCTTCGAGTCGGTACATCAAAGGCGTTTAGACGTCATGGTACAAAGAATACAAGGTATGATCGATAGCGGCTCCAATTTCGTTCAGTTCGCGCCCACCACCTGTGACGTCACTAGGAAAATAATGAATAAATAAAAATAAAGAAAGTTGACAGGAGATCTGCATTTTTGAGGTTATGGTTAAGAATTGTTTATTTTTAAGACTTTTAGTTCGTTTAATTTAATAATTACTAAAACCAGCAGTTCCAAAAATATATTTAAAAATAATAATTATCTATTAACATGGATTTGGACGATAATAGGTAAAAATACTAAATTTATTTCTATATTCGGTATAAAATTGTTAATTAGGTTTTTAGTTTGCGATGTTTATGGTAAATAATTTTCATTTTTATTGCCTCTGAATTCACATGAGAACAGAGATGAGGATATCTATGGAAAAGTAACCACAAGAGGAATTGTTACATCATTTAAAAATGTTGGGAAGTTTATTGTTTCCCATCGAAAAGTAGAAAATGCCAATGCAGATGAACGTATTGTAATTGTGATAGAAGTAATTCCAAGGGTGAAGTTTATTATAATTAGTGGAAGTAATACCAAGGGTGAAGTTGAAGTATTATAATTAGTGACCTGTGCTTCTTTTTATATGTAGATGTTTCTGGTTTTGAGAATAAATCGGTTGAACCACACCCAAAATTTAAAGGAAGTATTTGCATACCCAGAATATGCCCATCAAGGGTTATATAGCTCAAATTTCCTTTAATGGTAGGCAATTATTCAATGCAAATTAACTTTTTAAGCGACTGAAATATTAAATAGTTTACAATATGGTATATCACTAAAAATATAATATATAAATCACTATAAATATATTACTTTTAGGTACAATTAGGGCCCGATACATTTCAAAAAGTAGAATATTATTTTATATTGAATGAGGTATTGTACTAACAATCAATTTATATTAATAACGGAGATTAAAAAATAACAGAATAAATAGTTCTTTTTCTTATACTACAAAAATAAACTATAGAATACAACAGTATTTAAAAAAAATAAAAAGTGATGTTCCGGCCGAGATTCGAACTCCGGTCTCTCGATTCCTAGCCCGACCTTATATGCACTGCTCCATAGTAACTTGCTTATCGATAATTCAATGACGGTATATAAACAAAAAAAAACAGGTTTATAACAATATCTTGACGATTTGAACTGGCGCGCGAATGAAGAAATGCGTGCGGTCTTCTCGTGCGGTCCTATCGTGCGGTCCCCGTCCATACCACTAGCGTACGTTCGTTCGTTCGTTCGTTCGTGCGGATAATGAATACGCACCTTAAGAGAATTTGTTGCTTGTTGCTCTAAACCCACTGGCAGACGTTGAACAATAAAGCACTGGAAATAAGCACTTTAGCCCTTTAGTTTTAAAATACCTAGTAAACAAAACAATTTCAAAGTTAGGTTAAGTTTAAATAGCGGACGCGACGCGAACAGAATTCTTTCCGATCCGATAACTATAAATGAAGAGAGTTAATACCACCTCACGTAAAGGAAATAACACCTGGCCTTATTAACGTCCATACACGCTATTCGGTTTAGCGATATCTCTCTATTACGCTGTTTATTGTTATTTTACGCGAGTTTATTTTTGCGCATAGGAAATTTGACTCGTTTGCACATCGTCATAAAAAACAATTTTCGTACCACGAATTAGGGACAAGATTTTTATCTGTATACTTATAGGATACCTAATCTGTGGTAGTATTCTGTATATGTGTAATTATGTAGGTATGCAGGAATGATTTAAAAATATATTACATTTATAGGGAGTATCGAGCAATTTTGGTTTGGTAGTGTTAAACTTGTCAATCTCGAATTTTTCCCTCATAATTTTCGCTTTTGTAGATTGGTTTGTCAGATAATATTTTATATTTTGGTTGCTTGAGAATAGTTCCATTGAATAATCTTTGCTCAGACTATCGCACCGATGAGTCTAGCAGTTTACTGCTTACAATTCGTTTCTTTTTAAATCTCGTCCTAGTAAAATAAAAAATGTCATGGAATCTCAACATCTATTTCAATAATATCAGTTAACATTAATCTAAAATATACCCTTTCCAGCAATAAATGTAAATGGCATTTCAGGTTTTCCGAGCAGACCTTGCAGCCCGGTCCCACCGTATCATTAAAGTGTGTAGCGTCTGGCAATCCGCCACCTCAATTTACCTGGACACTGGACGGCTTCCCTATTCCGGACCATCCGAGATTTCTAGTTGGTAAGTTTCCAAGCGCCCTTGTACGGCTTAAATATATCTGGCAATTTCAATAAAGGACGCATAAAAATATCTAACGCTGCTGCTGAGGAAATCGTTTATTTTAAGATGTCCTTTTACGAGATTCTCAATGATAAGGAAACTTAGATATTTAAAATACAAGGTGGTCCAAACTGTATTCCGGAAACTTTGGCAGCATATAAAATAAGTAAAAAAGTTCGTATAAATGTATGTCCTAAAATGCTTAGTTTCGGAGATACAGGGTGTAGAAGTTTCATTTTTATTTCAATTTTTTCCAAATAATTTTTGAAATAACGCCAATATTTGGATTAAAATTGGTGTCCGGGAGTTTTTGGACATGAGAAATTTGATTTTGTTGTCAATATGACCTCTATTTGTAGGGGGCGCCAGCTACATGTGTTTTAACTGTTTTGAAAACTAATAACTTTTCGTCCATACCTGTACAAAACTACTGAGTGAAAAATGTACATTTCCGTGACTTTTTACGTAAAAAATGTCTCTTAGTAAAAATTGCTACTGTTCTCAAGATATTTAGAATAAACAAGAAATAGCCAATACATGTCATTATTGACAAAAAATAAACAAAAGTTAAGTAAAACTTTTCAAATTTATGATTTCAGTCTAATAACTATTTAGTTGACATGTTTAATTTATGTTAATGATGAAAGGTATTGATAATTTCGATTCCAAATATCTCAAGGACCATTACTCGTAGCGATTTTCACCAAGAGACCTTTTTTTCGTAAAAAAAGCGTAAATATATATTTTTTTACTTAGTAGTTTTATACAGGTACGGACAAAAAGTTAATACTCTTCAAACCAGTTAAAAAATAAGTAGGTGGCGCCCTCTACAAGTAGGAGTCATATTGACATCAAAATCAAATTTCTCATGTCAAAAAACTTCCAGACACCAATTTTCACTAGTAATACCACTAGAGGTCAAATTATTTCCGGAAATTTTTTCGAGCCCATGAATATTTTGAAAATTATATATATATAATTTTCTAAAAATATTCATGAGCGAGAAAAAATGTCCGGATTTAATTTGACCTCGTGTTGTATTCGGTAAGAAAATTCCACACCAAATTGTGTTTGAAAATCAAATAATTAAAATGTGTTTTTCGCTTTTTGGTCGAATTGATTATTTAGTTACTATGACAACTAAGAGACACCCAAACTTAAAAACTATTTCAGTTTTGAAGCTGTCAAGCGGCACGGCTTAAAAAAATATTTCGCTTCGGTCATGAAAGCAAAGAAAATATTCGCCAGGAGATTAAGCAGTTGACACCCGCGAATACTAGGAAATCGAAGTCAAGCGTATGGAAGCAGTTTACAAACTTTCATCTCAGCTTTGTAATTGAAATGTATCAACATTATCATGTAAACAAATAAAAACCAGACTCTCAAAAATATATTCTGTCATTCTAAACGTCAAAAACGTCAAAAAATTTCCAGTATAATTCGCTGTTGGGTGCCCACAAGGAAAAAATTTTCACTAAAATTTATCCGTTGCCATGGTGATTTGTCAAAAAAACACGTTTTGATTGGTTAAAAATTACAGGTGAGGAATTTTCATCCAAATATTGACGTTACTTCAGAAATTATTTGAAAAAAAACGAAATAAAAATTAAACTTCTACACCCTGTATCTCCAAAACTAAGCAGTTTAGAACATACCTTTATACGAACTTTTTTACTTATTTTTAATACAACCAGCATTTGCTGAGAATATTAAGCCGGCTTTTATCTGCAGAATATGCTGCTGAAGTTTCCGGAATATCTACAGTTCGGACCACCCTGTATATTTATTTCATTCTGTATCGTCACAACACATTATTAACTCTTTAGGACAGTACGTCACAATCCAAGACGACGTCATTTCTCACGTGAACATCACCAACATCAAAGCGGAAGACGGTGGTGAATATTCTTGTATAGCTCACAATAGCGTGGGAAAGGTTACTCACAGTGCCAGAGTCAACGTCTACGGACTGCCCTATATCAGAGTCATGCCTAAAATTACGGGCATAGCTGGATCATCGCTTATTATTAAATGCCCTGTAGCTGGTTATCCTATAGAGACGGTTACTTGGGAAAGGGATGGGCAAATATTGCCTATAAACAGGTAATGGAAGTTTTAATAAAATGAGTTATTACAAAAACTACTAGGTTTAAGGCGGAGATTGACTTTAAAAATACTTAAAAAATATACATAAGATCATCGATATCGGGAATATGCAGATTTGGGCGCAGATAAGGTGCGTTTAAGTAGAGTTGGATCCAAAGACATTATAAATATAGACCGAACATCTCATTCATAAATACTCGTTGGTAGTGTATCAAACATTCCAATGTGTCAAACAAGGACAGAAGAGACAGAGAAGTCTAAAATTTCCGACCCCGGCAATTAGGCGCATTTGGATTGTTCTAATGGCCAGTGGCGTATCGTTTTTTGGAACGAATTTAATTAGTAAAGTAAAAGTAAAGTAATTAGTAAAATGTAAAGTAATTAGTAAAATGTTTACTCCATACTAATATACTACATTAACACTTTTTCGTCAGATGAGTTTTGTTATAAGGTCTAATATAATAATATAATTAATATCCCACGTATACTTATGTTGAAACGTTAGTAGGTAGTTTTCGAAAATCGCTCCAACGTCGATTTTCAATTTAAACTTTCAGTTAATTCTATATAAATTTTCAGTTACTTTTGAATATTTACAGGGTGACTCAGGCTTCCGAAACAGTTCTATATTAGGTTTGTGGTTGGTGACTTTTCTTTCAATTTTTTTTTCAGAATATGGAGGCAATGGTAAAGCACATTTTAGACATTTTTGTAAACATAGGTGGGGCCGGAACATATTTTCAAACTAAAGTTGTAGATTTGCCATTAAATTTCCATTCCAGAAATACCTACTGGGACTGTCCTTTTTTTTTAAAAAAGGACTGTCTTTTTTTTAAAGGACAGTCCTTTTTTGGAATAACTTGTCCTTTTGACTTTTTTTGACTTAAAAAGTCATTTTTATTTACGTATTTTCCCTGAGAAAATTACCTACAGCAAACAGAAATATTATTTTCGTCCAAATTTAATTAGAGATGTTATAAAACTTATAAATAAATTTTTCTTGTTTAGAATAGGCAACATTTAATCTCAAATGATAATTTAGGTTTTAGTTTTACTTTTTTGATCTTAAAAAGAACTTTTAAAATTAGTAATTAGTAACGATTTAGTTAGTTCGCAATCGATAGCTTCCTGTAAAGTACTATGTAATAGTTGTTTAATCTTGTATTATTAATAACTTCCTATACCTAAAATCAATATTTAATGAGAAAATTGTGTTTTTTTGAAAATATAAGACAAGATTTGACTCTCTCTTTCGGTCTTCTTCTTGTACTATGATGGCTCTGATACGAGGCAATTACGTTTTAGTCTCTCAATAGAAGGCATTTATCATTAAAAGTATCAAATCTGTGTGCTACAGTATGGGATTTCTGTCGCATAATAATGAATATTACGTTTATTTACAAATCCATTACTTTTAAAGGTAGCTTCATCAAACAATCAAATTTTAGTTAAATGTCCCAATCTTCATGAACTGTATTAAGCATATGTATTGCGGTTTAAATCACTCCGAGAATCACCCTGTATGTTGACAAAAATATTTTGAAAATGTGCGTTACAATGGCCCCCATCTTATGTAAAAAATTGAAATAAAAATTGCAAACCTAAAACGTAATAGGTAAAAAGCTTTTTTGGAGGCCTGGGTCACTCTGTATATAGGTATGTATAAAACTAGTAGCCTAAGAATTATTTACAGTTCGTCCCATTCTAAAAAAAAAGGTAAACACACCGTACAAATAACTCTAGGAAGAGGTATTTGTACGGTGGTAAAAAATTGTTTAAACGAGGCCGAAGGGGCAGATATAATAATGCAATAAAATGTAAAAAAGGGCGGGTAAACACCTTTGTTTATTTGTTGAGCAAAATTCCTTTAGAATATCGTATATAATGACCAAAATATGACGCAATTTTAAGAAAAAAATGTCACTTTCTGGCTTATAATAAAGTTTCAAATGCAACGTTTATATTCAAATTTGTAATGATCTACAACAGTTAAGTAGTAATTGAGACGAATTATAATTCAATTACCGGCTACTACGTTCTTGTTTTAATAGCTCAAAATTCAACAAATATAATTAGAAATTATTTTAATTGTGAGAGGCTCCCTTGTGGGACGCCTATGTACGGCAATTACGGGGCGGCGGAAACAATACCTACCTGTGAAAAGACAAATTCGGGTAATTTGAGCTTATTTTTCCACATATTTGACACTGTCGTACCATATTGAAAATTCGCAGATTCAAAAGTACGTTAAACAAAAGCAAAAACTACTGAAAAACACTGAAAAGTTCACTTCGGACTTGATTCCGACTTCAAACACACCGTAAGCTAAACGTAGTACGCTATAACGGACCAAGGACCGTCGCGGGGGGAGGTGGGACGGACGGCTCATTTCATTCTGGAAGACTAGCAGCGACGTTGCCAATAGTTCTAGACGTTTCAGCACATTAAACAGTAAACATGTCCTTTAATAGTAACGCATATATCCTCTTGTTAATAGCATATTATTACGTATGCTTCTTTAAAAATAAACTATTAATTTAATTAAGAAATTGAGATTTATTGATATCCGGTGAAGGTTTTAAATGTCACCTTTTCTGCAAATCAAACTAAGTAGATAGGCGCAAATTTGAGATGTGGCAATGTCGCCTTCTCTATCTCAGATGGTTTTTACAGTACGTAGTCAACCTCCGATTGTTTGATCGGGTTAAAATGCAAAATGTGATATCTGTTCTTCCTAAATCTATGGTTGGATCTAACTCTTTCGGGAATTATACGAGCCTTGAGTGCATTGCCATCAACTATCCTCTTATTCTTCAGTAATTATCAACACAAAATATTAGATATGCGCACCGAAAAATCTATGTACTCTTTATCCAGGCTACCGCTCAAATATAATTATTTATATCAGGGTCACGCTATTCAGAATGAGAGTAATCTCAAAAGTTTTCTTACAAAACGCAGAATAGAACAGAACGAACCAAACGAAGCAAATTCTGCTCTGGGCCCGTATTCTGTAACTTTGACATAAAAACGTTACGCTTTCAAAGCGGTAAGCGCAAGTATTCCATCAGCGAAACGCAAGGCAGTAGATTTTAGTATTCTCGTTGCCATGCGAATCGTGTTCTGGATACGCGTTGAGCACATATTGGCAACATCGCAATTTCTAATGTAGCTAATAGTCAAAAGTTGATAACTGACGGATGTAACAATGAAAAATGTCAATGTTACGTGAATTTCATAACCTATTGTTGAGTTATGTCAAGCTATTTTTCTATGGATATGTCATTATTCTTATTATACGAGGGAAGTGTTGAAGACGTAAATTATCAATTACTTATTGAGAACTTTATAGAAGTAGTAGTAATTTTCACTAAAGAGCAAGATAACGCAGAAAATCACACTTTTTTCGATTTTCACTGACAGTTCGACAAGCAAAACGGTCCTTTAAGGCAACCGTCTTCAAAGCGCTCAGCGCAATCAGTAAAGACGCTAAGCGCTTCAGACGAGAATACCGAAATTGTTAATTAAGTGCGCGGTCAGCGAAAATTAACGTCATATACGCTGAGCGCCTAAAAGCGCTTAGCGTTTTCAAAGTTACAGAATACGAGCCCTGGGCCCGAATTCTGTAACTTTGACATAAAAACGTTACACTTTCAAAGCGGCGAGCGAAAGTATGCGATTAGCGGAACACAAAGCAGTCGATTTTGGTATTCTCATTGCCGTGCGAATCGTTTTCTGGATACGCGTTGAGCACATATTGACAGCATCGCAATTTCGCAGGTATCTAATAGTCAAATGTGAATAAAACAATGAAAAATGTCAATGTTACGATTTGAATGTTACGTGAATTTCATAACCTATTGTTGAGCTATGTCAACCTATTTTTCTATGGATATGTCATAGATGTCATTATTCTTATTATACAAGGGTAGGTAATGTTGAAAACGCTTCTCAGCATTTTCGATGTTTTGAACAATATTTATAGCTACCAAGTCGTAAATTATCAATTAATTATTGAGGAATTTAGAGAAGAAGTAGTAATTTTCATTAAAGAGCAAGATAACGCACAAAATCACAATTTTTTCGATTTTCACTGACAGTTCGACAAGCAAAACGATCCTTTAAGGCTTTGAATAAGAAGACTAAGGAAGGAGCATATCAAAAATCTTAGGTACACCGCGATGGGCCTCAAATTTGGCCGACTTAAATTCCGGTTTATCAGTGTCGTTCTAATTTTATTTAAAAAATGTAAAACTATGATGTAGGGTAGACGTGGGGTAGACTCAATAATTTGTTGTTTTATTTTACGTTGTGAATAAATGTTGGTAGTTATTAAAATTGTTATAAAAATATATAATTCTAATAAAAATAGATAAGTTATAATAAGTATTTATTACCACAAACATCCGATACGCTACGGAAGCAGGTAAGTCAAATTAACGTATCTAAATTCTTTGACATCTAATCTTTGACAAGTAATAAATAAAAGCTAAAATGCAAGAAAAATATATAATTTAGTTAATTTAAGTGAATTTCATAAATGATCGGTTTACTACACGTATGTATATTATATAGTCACTCACTAGCGAAAAGTTGTTCCATTATTTCACTCAATTTTTGCCGAGATCTACCGCACGCTACACAACCAACTATTTTAGAGCTTTTTCGATAAATCGCGATAGTGTCACTGTTAATTTAAGTTCTGCCACAATTTCCATCTAGATTTACTACCTTTATACAACTATCAGTAGCAGAATAAATAATAAATAACATAAAATAAGCTCCGTAAAGACTGACAAATCCACAAAATTTCAAATCAAATTCAAATGTGTCAAATGAATCGTCAAACAGAACTGTCAAGGATCCCCACCCTAGAGTGCTTTTATGGCGCTTTTTCCGCCCACCATGCATGAATACATGGATAGCATTATGCTCCTTCCTTAGTCTTCTTATTCAAAGCTTTAAGGCGACCGTTTTCAAAGCGCTTAGCGCAATCAGTAAAGACGCCAAGCGCGTCAGATGAGGATACCCAAATCGGTAGTTAAGTGCGCGCTCAGCGAAAATTAACGTCATATACGCTGAGCGTCTAAAAGCGCTTAGCGTTTTCGGTGTTACAGAATTCGGGCCCTGCGCGTTCGGTTCGTTCTTTCCTTTCGGGCTATAATGCTCAAGTCTAGACGCACCTTTACAGTTCATGGCTCAAGTTAACCTCCGCCCTCTGCTACCCCTTTAGGCGGTTGAAACTACCAAGTTACTTTCACGTCGGTTTGAAATTTCAGGAGGCAACGCGTTTATCTTAATGGTACACTAGTTGTTGAACAAGCTCAACGAAGAGAAGATGCTGGTACATACACCTGTCAAGCTCAAAATCGCCAAAGAAATTCGGCAAGAAGAGATGTTGAAGTTCAGATTATCGGTAAGAATGTTTAAAATGGTTCAAGGAAATACGTCACTTGTTTAGTATACAAACGATATTATATTTGTTAAAAAATGTTTTTTTTTTGGTTTTTACATGTTTTACTAAAACTTATACATACAGAAAAGTCCACAGACTTCGAGACATAGGAAAATCATGTCCATTTAGCGTGTGTCCAAATTTTGACAAATTTTCAAAAATGACAGTTTTGTTTAGTCTGACGTTTAATTTCACCTGACCTCTCGGTGAATGATTTCTTTTTTATGGGGGTACATAAAATCTAAAATTTACGGCCGTGAAGAAATTCAAAACTTGAAGCAGTTAAGGCAGAAAATATTTAATGCCTTTGACACTGTCACCCCTGATATGTTATCCAATGTGAGGAGAGAGGGGATTTTATGATCGTTTGGGTTATTGTTTAATGCAAGAGGGAGGCATTTTTGAACAATTTTTGTAATTTTTTAAATTTCATTATCCTGTTTTTTTACTGTTTACTCATAACCTATCTTGACGAAATGGGAAAACAAAAGTCCTTTTCAGAACCACAAATATTTTGATTGAGAAATTTGTTACTTTTATTTTTTTTGGATTAAAAAAACAAAAGTTGTTAAAAAAATATAATATAATATCAATTTAAAAGTGTTTTAGTAGTTTTAATACACACTATGATATAAAATTTATTATTATTATAATGTACATTATTAATACTATTATTCATTTGCACCAATGATTTAAATTTTTCTTAAAGATAAGTAGAGCTTAGAATGAGCTGTATTTATATTTACTTTAATATTCACCTTAAATGAGGGAATTTGACTGATACAATTTTTGAATTTGAATTCTTTTTAATGATACTAACAATTTTGGTTAGTTCAATTTTTAATAAAATTTATTTAATATTAATAGAAATCCAAGAGATTTGAAACATCTTTTAGCGATTTATAACATTCTCAAATGAATTACAGGTGCCCTTATTTTCTATGAAAACCACACAGCTTTTTTCATAGTCGCTGCAGTTGCTATAGCTATAAAAAACTAATTTTTTAAGGTGTGAAAATTGCAACACACGCTAAATGGGACTTGATTTTTCCTATGTCTCGAAGTCTGTGGACCTTTCTGTATATTAGATGTTTATTTTTTATTCTGTTATATCGTTGATCATAATGTTCTTGCAGTGCCTCCAAAAATTCTGCCCATTAACCCGATGACTGACTTATTCAGGGAAGGAATGCGGGCTGCCGTATCCTGTCAAATTATGGAAGGCGATCTGCCTATTCATTTTCGATGGGAAAGAAATGGAGAGGTAAGTTTATCCACTATATATCTGGAAACGTTCTTTCTTCGCTCTCGGATAGTACAGGGCAAGTAATGACATCTAGGGCTTGACCTCGCCAAAATTACCATCGATTGTCAACGCCTTTTTTTCGATTGTATGGTAAATTTATGTTTTGTTGTTGATATTTTGATTGTTTTCTCAATTTAAAAATTGTGTTCTAATTTTAGGCAGTAGTTAATAACGCCGCTCTAGGTACAGTAATAAGAAGAATCGATGAATTTTCTTCATCTCTAATTATTGATCAAGTCAGTTCGAAACATACTGGAAACTATACTTGCATTGCCAGTAACGTAGCTGGGTCGGAAAAATACATAGTACCTTTAACTGTTAATGGTAAGCTAAATTTTGTTGTATACTTAACCATTATTATTACTGTATATTTGTACAGTATTTCTTTTAGAAAATTTGAAGATAATTATACTTCATAATTGCCCAATAATTTTGGGTCAATAAACAAAGAAGTCGACGATATTTTCATTTACTGAATATTTTTAGTGCCACCTAGATGGACTACAGAACCCCTGGATACAAGTGTTGCAGCTGGTGAAGAAGCTATAATCCATTGTCAGGCTGATGGATACCCAAAACCTGTAATCACTTGGAAAAAAGCTGTTGGTACGGTATAAATTGATATCAGAGTTTTTTACACCAAAAATTAACTTAATTTCAATCACACCAAACCATTTTTTAAGTTAATTAAATTATTAAGTACTTGTTAATATAATACCTAACGTATCGTATATATTTTTATTATTTTAGGAAAACAGCCAGGAGAATATAAGGACTTCCATTACGAACCCAACGTTCAACAGTACCAAAATGGTTCTTTGGGTTTTACTCACATATCAAAAGAAAGTGAAGGTCAATATTTATGTGAGGCAAAGAATAATATCGGTGCTGGAGTTAGCAAAGTGATATTTCTAAGAGTTAACGGTTAGTATTCATATACCGGGTGCGTCTCAAAAGTGGCTCACCTCTATAATTTTTTATTTTTTTCAGATAAAAAAAAACGAGACTTGGTATGGTAGTATATGACCTAAATTAGGATTGATTAACGTATTCAATAGTTTTTGGTTACTTTTTGTTTCACCGGAAATTACTACAACTTTTTATTTTTAAATGGCACCCTCTGTATTTTTAACTTTATTCGATAGAAAATGACATTCTGAACAGACTGACATATCATATGTCAACTTTTGACAGGGTCGCTTAATAAAAAATCGTATTTTAAATTTCAAACTAGAGTGCCGTGGCTATGTTAAAAACACTAATTTTTAAACAAGGGACCTTGGAAAAAATAGATTTAATCGTCTGATGTTTTTAGTGTCTTGTCCTGGCCGGTTAAAAGATGCCCAAATCGTATTTTTAATCATATCTCAATTTTTTCAAATAGAACAAGAGTGGCTCATTAAGATATTTGGAAAAATCATTTTTTTACGAATAATTTGATACCACACACTTGGTATTTCGAGTCAAATTCTCGTTATGAACCGCATGTTATAATTTCAAACAAACCATATGTGAAAATGTCAAAGTTGGCATATGATATGTCGTTCTATACAGAGTGAAATTTTCTATCGAATAAAGTAAAAAAAATACCGAGGGTGCCATTTAAAAATCAAAAGTTGTAGTCATTTCGGGTGAAACAGGAAGTGACCAACAACAATTGAATACGTGAATCAATTCTAATTTATGTTATATACTAACGTACCAAATCTCGTTTTTCTATCTGAAAAAATAAAAAAGTTATATGAGTGAGCCACTTTTGAAACGCACCCGGTATATAAATCAGAAACTTTGATTTGATTTAATGTATTAATCATTACATATCTTTCTTAGCTCCTGCTCATTTTGTACAAAAATCCAAACAAGTTCAAGTAGTAAAAGGCGACCAAGCACACTTGCAATGCGCCGCTAATGGCGATACACCCATGCAAATCTCTTGGAAAGTTGGAGGTCAACATATTATAAAAGATGGTAAGTCTCTAATTTAATTTAAGAAACAATCTTAATTAAAACAGAATTGTTTTTAGATGATCAAAGATACTCAGTCCGTGAACAAACGCTTGTAGATGGAATGGTTTCCGAGCTAGGTAGATATTTGTTTAGTAAATATTATTATTAATAATAATCACAATATAACTTTAGTACGGTAACTATAAACATGCATTAAATGACATATTAAAGTATGGCGCAGGCTAACTACTTTACTGAACCACGTAGACAATCAAAAGTTAATTATATAAGTTAATTATACTTAAAGTTAATTATATAAGAACAAAAATGATATTCAGAAGAAAATAAATTCCATAAAGGAGACAATTTTATGACAGAAAGCCTCGCTTTCTAGAAAGTGCTCACCCGACCACTCCCCGCACCTTTCGTAAAATCCTGCCATCCTATCTTGCGCAGTGTCTGTTGTATAGTATTTTTAATACCTATTTAGAGGTACCAGCTGTTTTAGTAACTTAACGTATGCGGCTTCTTGCACCATCTAAACCCGCATGAAAAAAATTAGGTTATGACCTTTATCATGTCAAATGCTTGACATATTTCTTATTGCATTGGCGGAGTGACTTGAAATTTCATATTATCAGTGGCGGTTTATAATAAGAAAAATTAATTTTATGAAATTCTAAAGATGTTGACGTAATAAAAAAAATATAAAAGAAGCGCACTAATTTTAAAAATATTGTTTTATTAACTAGATACCGAGTTTTCTTAAAAAAATACCTATATTATTTAAGATCTCGATTTAAGGCTTATACTTATGCTTAATGTAGTAAACTATATTCAAAACGATTTAGGATCTCGATTTAAGGCAATTCAAAAAGCGTCTGAAGTACTAAAAGTATAATAAATATATAACAAGAAGTCGAGCAAGCAGTAATAATATTTATTTAAGGGCTCGTTTAAGTACAAATTCTAGATTTAAAAAAAATTACAACGTGATCTTAAAGGCTAAGTTTAATTATTTTCTAAATCAGAATAACTTTCGGAAAGTGATAGTTCATCATCGGATTCATTGGATACAGAGATCACCATAGGTTCGATGTTTAGTAGATCCAGTTTGTTTTCTACTTCCCATGCTTCAGAAATAATTTTCTCTGTATGTTTTATGTAATTCTGCCAGTGTTGCTCCGGTACATTATTTATAACGTCATTCCATATTTTTAAGACTTCAGTAGGTGACCCTGCAGTTTTCATAATAGCTTGGTCCATAATGCCTTTTAGTTTCAGACCATACCATTTCGATGGCATTAAAATGGCAATGGTAGGGTGGTAGCCTGAGAACACAATGACAATGCTCGGCAGCGTGTTTGTCTAAATGATAATTTTTTTCCGGAAAAACTTGCTTTTCAATTATATTCCAAACAGCATCCTTTAAAATGTGATCTGGAAAAGGAATATTTTTCTTTTTGGGCCATTCTAACATGCGTGTTTTGCTCCAACTTTTTCTTGGGATTTCTTCATCCAGGCGACTGTGGTACGTTGCGTTATCCATTATAATTAACGATGGTTCTTCCAAGTTTACAATTAGTTGCTTTTTAAACCAGTTTTCAAAATTTTCGGTGTTCATGTTGTCATGGTAATCACCTGTTTTTTTATTGCATTTAAAAATTAGCGATGCATTTGCCACAAAACCATTTTTATTACCGGCATGAACAATTACATATCGCGTCCCACTTCCAGTTTTTTTAAAATCACTGTGTTTAGTACCATCTTGCCACATTCTTCTATCCCCGCTTTTACTAAAAATCCATGTCTCATCCAGAAAAACAGGTGTAAAAAGCTTTTCGCTTTTAGCAGCATGGTATTTGTTCAAAAATAATATTCTTTTTAGGCATTTCCAATAACTGTTTTCTTCCATCCCGTTTTTTGAAATGAAAACCCATTTTTTTAATTCCCAAATATAACGAACTTTTGGAAATCTTAGTTTCTGGAGACTCTTCGATAAATTGCAGGAAAATAGTTTCTACTGTGATTTTATCCTTTCGCGCATACATTTTGTAAATTACTTCCCTCAAACAATGTAGGGTATTCTTAGTAATTCGGATTTTGCTCCGGGAAACGCTTGCAGACATATTTCTTCTAAATTCGAAATCTGTAGCTCTGTTTGGTTTTTCTAGATTATATAATGTGCATTCTGGGACTTTTAGTGCTTCGGATGCTTTTTGAATTGCCTTAAATCGAGATCCTAAATCGTTTTGAAAATAGTTTACTACATTAAGCATAAGTTTTTTGGATTCATCAGAATATCGCATTTTTATATCTTATTTTGCGTTATGACATTAACATGAAACGTAACTTCAAAAACGTGACATCTAACAAATTATTAGTAATCGACGTTCATTTTTGTTGGTAATTTTTTGTTTCAACTGATTTATTAATAATAAATAAGGATGGTGTTATTCTAAATGGGTATTAAAAATACTTTACATTAACTGTCCAGCAACATATTTTTTTATATATACTGTTAATATTTGAACTTAAAAGTTGCGTCTTTCATATTTTGAATTTCTGATGGTACCTTTATTTAAAAAGTATTTTTTCATAAGAAGGGACATTAAAGTTGGGAAATCTTCTCAAATCTTACAGGTATAGAACATACAATCAGACAAGACACAGGTATTTTTACCTGTTCTGCTTCAAATTTGTATGGAAGCGACGATATGAATATCCAGCTGATAGTTCAGGAAATTCCAGAACCACCTCGAAATGTTAGGGTTATCGATCAGCAGTCCAGATCTATTGGCATATCTTGGACGTATCCGTATGCTGGAAATAGTCCCATAACGAATTATGTGGTTCAATACAAGCTAGGAGCAGGTTAGTGTTTATAAATTTAATAAAAATATATAGTCCATTACACTAAAGGCACAGATTAGGTATCCTATAAGTATACAGATAAAAATCTTGTCCCTAATTCGTGGTACGAAAATTGTTTTTTATGACGATGTGCAAACGAGTCAAATTTCCTGTGCGCAAAAATAAACTCGCGTAAAATAACAATAAACAGCGTAATAGAGAGATATCGCTAAACCGAATAGCGTGCATGGACGTTAACAAGGCCAGGTGTTATTTCCTTTACGTGAGGTGGTATTAACTCTCTTCATTTATAGTTATCGGATCGGAAAGAATTCTGATCGCGTCGCGTCCGCTATTTAAACTTAACCTAACCTTGAATTTGAAACTTTGAAATTGTTTTGTTTAATAGGTATTTTAAAACTAAAGGGCTAAAGTGCTTATTTCCAGTGCTTTATTGTTCAACGTCTGCCAGTGGGTTTAGGGCAACAGGCAACAAATTCTCTTAGAAGGACTAAGTCGTCATCTGCTGTAAACCTAAGACTCTTTATAGGTTCTTTAGTATTGGAAGAGGTGGAATCTACATATTTTGGGCCATATTTATTTAATTAAAACTAATTCCAGCTACTTAAATATCAAATTACCTAATAAAACTAAAGCAATAATTCAAAACAATTCAAACATAACTTAAAATAAAAGATCTCGCCGGCCGGCTCCGGTTGTCAAATACCCGCAACACATGCCCATTTAAGCAATTTTTAAACGTTATCAGAGGTTATTTAGAAAGAGCGCTTGGTGTAATTGATCCGCAAATTACGTCAGGCGGTAACGTTATTAGCGGGTGTTGCGTTAAAAATTGACTCGCGCATATCGTAACCATGATAAGGTACGCGTAAATACTGGATGACGCTATTCGGTATATTTCCGATATCTCTCTAATAACTGTGCCGGTCAGGCGCTGTGCACAATTTTAGAGGCCATAAATGGGTGTGCTATGTGCGCAAACTAGTAACCTAACTAGTGCCCGATTCCGAAAATTGGAACCACGAAAAACAAAGATTATAATCTGTATAATCTGTGCTAAAGGTGACAATTCAAGATCAATAGTATTTATAAGATTCATTAGCTGTCACTGAATAAGCTGTGACCCCTTAATATGAATTTTATTATCAAAATTATAACGAGCACGTAATCTAACCTATATTCTTTTTATTTATTTTGAGATATTTAATCAAAAATTTAATAGGAAAACCTTCAGACTATACTGGAAAATTTACGGTATTCACAATGTCTAAAAATACAATTAAAACTAATAGAATATCCTAGCAACAGCTTGCGGTAGTCAGTTGTATCCATAGCTTATTATAGAACAATAGATTTTTTTTATCTCTAACCACAATTTCTCTTGAAGTTGAAGGATAATAATATAATAATAAGGCGCGGTCTCTTCAGTTATAAATAAATAACTTTTATCTAACAAATAACCATCTAAAAGATAAACAATCTAGAGTCTGATATCTATAGGATTTGGGTATTTTCATACAAAATAATCCAACAGATAACAATTTGGAGGACGGCCGCCTACGGACCGGTAGACACTCCGTAGAGAAAGTGTTGCCAATATAAGATATCTGAAATTGAGATGGTTATATATGAAAAGTCGATACAACAGACAGAGACAGAAACTCGGAATTTCAAATCGTTAGATTAAAAAGTGAGGTTATTGTTCAGTTGTCAAAAGATCGTCAAAATGAAATTAAAAACAATAAAATTCAACTAAAATATATTTTGTGTTTAACTCCAACTAGTCCTATTATGGTATAGGCTATTTAAATTTACCTTTATGGAAAAAGGGAAAGATAATTCAATTTTAGCAGTGGTGGTGGTGCAATAGATCTATTGATGGAATGCGATTTATAAGAAATTAAAACAAGAAAAAATAATCTGTAAGTAATTTATAGTTTAATTACATAATATTACTGTTATATTTATTATATTAACATTTTAGTACAATTGATAATTGAAAATATGGAAGAAGCTGGTGAAGTGCAAGCAGAGATTTATAAACCAATCCTAAAACCACCATCTGGTAAGTTATTAATATTGAAAATTAAAAATAGCATAAGACTGTTAGTAATAACAAATATGTTGTTCTAGGGCTTCTCATAGTAAAGAAATAGGTAGGATAGCATCAATGATAGTAATTAAGTTGAGTTTTTATTTTATAAAATAGATAAATGCACTTATACTTTTGTCTTAATAATAATAAATGAATAGTACCTATAATAATTGCTACATTTACACATTATATGTACAAATTATTTAATAAAAAAAATTAAATAAAAACAATTTTGTCATATTACTTTTATTTTTAAGAACTCAAAGTGATGGAACTTCAGAAAAAAAAGAAAAAATAAAGGAAAAATCTTGTCTAAACAAAGTTGAATTAACTGGAATTCAAAGGACCACAATACAGATGTTTTAGCAAGGTTTAGCTAGAGAGTTACTTAAAAAACAGCATGGAGAAGAGATGTACCGTATGATCGAAAAAAATTCGGCGTCAGCAATGGCTATGAAATAAAGATTGCTGTCATTTCATATGTAAATTTATATGGGAAATATCATCGAACATCATTTCCCAGCCAACTGGACGCCGTTTTTTTTTCGATCATACGGTATAAGGTACATAGTGCAAGAAATTAAACTAAAATTGTAACACAAAAGAAATAAAAGCAAATGTGAATTGAATAACAGGTTTTATAAGGTTCCTGTTATAATATTAATGAATTAAGATATGCGAATTAAAAATGAAATAAATAGTGTGATTTAAAAAGTTTTATTTATTTTTTACCTACATTAGAGCTTTATTAAAAACTAGTTGAAGCCTGGCGCATCCGCCACGAGATCAGGAAAAAGAAATACTTTTTTTTTAATTAAATAAAAAACAAAAAATCCGGCCACGACAGTTTTTAGAAGAGCCATTTAGCTATCTTTTAGTAAAAAAAGCAACTTTCTAGAGCAAGTCGTTACTTCAGTAGAGACGACACACAGATAAACATTAGCATTTTATATAATATGTAGTTATGGTTTATAATTGAAAGGATTTAAATAAAATAATTTATAAATTACTGTTTTATCACTATTATCCTAACTTAATGCATTCTCTTCGTTCTGATGCTCTAACAGAACAGAGACTCTCTTTATTTTGTAACAGTCCTTATAAAGTCCGGCACTAGCAACAATAGTTTTTTGCACCATTTCAATGTGTTTATTGGTGTTTATACCCCATACGTTCTAAAATGATTATAGCCTACATAGTCAGAATAGGTAAGTCTTTTCCAAATAATCTAAAATCGAATTTATTGGAATAAACGAAATCTTCAGTAATAACAATGTCTTGGTTATGTTAAGCAATTTTGTCAAATATCAAATAAAATAATATCTCCTCATGCCGTTGCTCATGCGTCAAATTTTTATCTGACAAATAAAGCACTATTTGGCAGTTCGGGCGCTAGATAGGATATCTGGGAGATAAGTTTAATTTATCTAATAGATACTGTTATCTATAGGTGAAGATACGCGTTTTTCTGCTATCCATCAAATAAAATCTATCTGGCAGATTATAACACGCTATCCGTACCTGAAAACACCGGGGGTAAGGGCGAAAATGATAAAATATACATGTTACAAATTTTGAAGTATAATTATTGGAGAACGTTAAACATTTGTTAACTTTTTCTACTAATTGAAAGTTACTACCACTAATTTTGAGGGCTCTAAAGTTTTAATATATTTCTCATCTCGTTTTAATTAGTCTCATTACTATGAAAAACTAATTTGATAATCGTTAAAAAATAATCATATTATGGCAGCATGATAACAGCTGATAAATATTCCAATTACTTAAATTTATTACCAACCAAATGAGCAAAATCAGAATATCCAACTATTTGAATCATTGTTGATTGTTCTGTAGTTTAAAGTACTTTTCTGATTTTTTTTCCATTTCATCTTAACATATAATGGCAACTATTTATATTCCAATAAAAAAAAACATCATCACAATTTACAGAGGCATGGCCAAATCAACCAGCTAAAGTTACAGTCACAGGTTCGCAAACCACAGCAAACCTGTCAAATCTGCGACCAGCTCAAGTATACCACCTTCGCATATTGGCAGAAAACCGATTGGGTTTGAGTGAACCAAGCCAAACTGTTCAAGTCAGCACACTGGAAGAAGGTATTCTTTACATTATTAGAGAATTAGATTAAAAAAAACATTTTTTGTCTTCTACTTAATCCTGAGACCATTCCTGCTGATTCTTATGTAAAATGAGTTATATCTGTTGAAAGTCGAATTATAGCTCCCGTTTTATTCAAACCACCCATCTCTCTATTTTTATCATATTTTTATCACTTTTTGATAATAATAGTTATTTTTTTATACAAGACGATAAAATGGTATTTTATCTTCGACCGAAAAGATTAATTGATTAATTAATGAATTTATTAGGAGTAGAAAAATTATTGTGTTGGTTGGCGTTGGTTTCTATGTAATTTGACAAATAAATAAAGCTGTCTCTTTAGTTGTCAGTTTTGAGTCAATTTTTTTTAATTCTCTTTCGTGTCGATTGCTGATTGAATGGAGCGAGAAATGGCTCTAAATGAAATAGGTAAATTACCAACAGATATTCTCAGGCTGAGGAGACAAACGCCATATCTAAACTACTTGCATTTAAATCCCGAATAACTTATGAAAAGGAATACAAAAATTTTCAAAAATGGAAGCAATTAAAAAACGTGCGAGAAGAAATAAAGTTTTTAATCTATCCTCGCTGTTAAAGTATCATTTAAACTACTCTTGCGGTTAAAGTACCAATTTATCTACTATTTTTGATATATAAGCTTTGAATAAGAAGACTAAGGAAGGAGCATATCAAAAATCTTAGGTACACCGCGATGGGCCTCAAATATGGCCGACTTAAATTCCGGTTTATCAGTGTCGTTCTAATTTTATTTAAAAAATGTAAAACTATGATGTAGGGTAGACGTGGGGTAGACTCAATAATTTGTTGTTTTATTTTACGTTGTGAATAAACGTTGGTAGTTATTAAAATTGTTATAAAAATATATAATTCTAATAAAAATAGATAAGTTATAATAAGTATTTATTAACACGAACATCCGATACGCTACTGAAGCAGGTAAGTCAAATTAACGTATCTAAAAAAAAGGCGGGTTCTCACTTGTCAGTTTCGCTGACGCAGTCTGACTGATTCAGTGATACTGAACAAATAATGAACGTCAGAACACATTTTCATGTTAAATGATCAGTAAATTCGTACTTTCAGTTAAAGTGAAAACCAGTTCTACTTTTTTCATTTTTGACTGATCATTATCGAATAATGAATAGAAACTGAAGCATGAGAACTACATTTTCGTGATTTGTTCAGTTTACAAGTTAAAGTTAATTAATTATTTTAATGTATATCTCCAAAAAACTCCTTTATGGGTATTTCGCCACTGCACTGCAAGAAAATCTACAAAATAAAATAGTTATTTTTTGTAAACACTTCTGGCGTTAAACCTAAACGGACACTGCTTATAAGAAGTTATGTTTACAGTTATACAAATTGGCTTAACAAAGAAAAAAATGCTTAACGTTTCGGAAAATCTATCGTCGGAAGCAAAAAAAATTCAAAGAATAAAGAAAAAAAACTATTTAAAATATTTAAATTCAAACTATTATGAGAACACGCTTTTTTTAAAGCAGATACGTCTACAAGAAACCGTTGACGTTCTGTTAAAATAGAACGTCAACGGTTTCTTGTAGACGTATCTGCTTTAAAAAAAAACGTTTTCTTCTTTTCTGATTCACCAGAATATTCTGTAATTCATTTGCTAATTGTAAACAAACTTCGCGAACACCTGGTTTCAATTTTGTTTTAACCATTTTTATGTCTGCGAAATCACCACGTTAAAATGTTTGGACCAACTGAATACTGAATGTAGCAAAACATGAAACGTGTGAATACAATCGTTGATTTTTATTTTTCATTGATAATGAATCAGTCAGACTGCGTCAGCGAAACTGACAAGTGAGAACCAGTGAATCTACCTAGTGAATCAGAAAAGAAAAAAAAAACGTCGTAGGTGATCAGGTCCTAGATATTGCGAAGAAATAAACGGGGTGCTAGTGAAACTATATTAAAAGAATTAATTAACTTAACTTGTAAACTGCACAAATCACGAAAATGTAGTTCTCACGCTTCAGTTTCTATTCATTATTCGATAATGATCAGTCAAAATGAAAAAAAGTAGAACTGGTTTTCACTTTAACTGAAAGTACGAATGTACTACTGATCATTTAACATGAAAATGTGTTCTGACGTTCATTGTTTGTTCAGTATCACTGAATCAGTCAGACTGCGTCAGCGAAACTGACAAGTGAGAACCCGCATTAAATTCTTTGACATCTAATCTTTGACAAGTAATAAATAAAAGCTAAAATGCAAGAAAAATATATAATTTAGTTAATTTAAATGAATTTCATAAATGATCGGTTTACTACACGTATGTATATTATATCACTTACTAGCGAAAAGCGATTATGTCACTTACTACCGAAAAGTTGTTCCATTATTTCACTCAATTTTTGCCGAGATCTACCGCACGCTACACAACCAACTATTTTAGAGTCTTTTTCGATAAATCGCGATAGTGTCACTGTTAATTTAAGTTCTGCCACAATTTCCATCTAGATTTACTACCTTTATACAACTATCAGTAGTAGAATAAATAATAAATAACATAAAATAAGCTCCGTAAAGACTGACAAATCCACAAAATTTCAAATCAAATTCAAATGTGTCAAATGAATCGTCAAACAGAACTGTCAAGGATCCCCACCCTAGAGAGCTTTTATGGTGGCTTTTCCGCCCACCATGCATGAATACATGGATAGCATTATGCTCCTTCCTTAGTCTTCTTATTCAAAGTATATAAGGCAATTTTAACAGTTGCTATGAAAAAAAAATTATGGACATGAATTTAATTTGGAGAGGTGAAAAGAATTATTTTGGTTGTAAAAAATAACAAATACAAAGAACCCTACATTTATTTGGTGCTTGCTTGCCATTTATACCCTTCGTTCCAAAAACCAGCCGTACACCGCCAACATGCTTGCATTCTACTTCCTTGAAAATATTCTGTCTAGCTTAGCGACGCCTTGATGGAACCATTCCCCGTGTTCATCCGAGATTGCTTCTAAAGGTGATAAAATTAGGGATGGAATATTACATCAAAATTTGTTAAAATCTATTCTAGAGGTATGAAATTTTGTACTGAGGTTCCTTCTGTAGCGTAATTGGGGTTGGAAACGATTTCCAGAAATCCATCTGTAAGAGAGTGCAATTTTGTGTGATTTTTTTTTAAATTAGTTCTAGGATTATGAAATTTTGTATTCAATTACTTCACTTAAGGAAGCTTTAAGTGAAGAAAATGAATACTTACTTAATGAAAATTTCTTAGTAATATACGTCAGAATTTATGCTGAACACATTATATATAATAAAAATATATTAAATTTATAGTTCATGTCTGGCAATTTTGCAATTTTATAGATAACCGTGGCAGTATAGATTTTTTTTCTCGCATTCCTTCCGTAGCTTCAGATCCGCTGGTCAAACAGTAGAAGCGGTTTTATGGGAAATCGTCTCCTAAGTGATAAGGGGTAACAGTTGGTATAAGATTTTGTTAAAATCGGTTTTAGAAGTAGGTATGAAATTTTACACAGACGTTTCTTAAGTAACTTAATTAAGCACTATGAAGCAATAATGATCACTATAAACTTTATTCATTTCGGAGGTCAAATTAGGGATGAACATGTTTTTTTTTTGTTGGTTCGAGCTATAAAAGGAATGTAGAAAATGTAGAATTAGAATTTAGAATTTAGAATGAGTGGGAGGGGGGTTAATCACTTCGACGTTACAGATCATAAGTTGAATCATAACTCATCATACAGTCCCAGGGCTTTGACAAAAGTCAGTATCTGGGACGGTTTTATAGAGGGTAGTTCTCCATCTCCAATATCAGTCGTACCAAAATTCATGGCACGAATGGTTGTCGTCTCGGCGCACTCAGTGATGAGGTGTACTGGTGTTTCACCATCTTCCCCACAGAATCTGCATTCGCCGTTTCTTCTTAGTTTCAATCTACTGAGGTGTTCGTTGAGGAGACAGTGTCCTGTTAGAAACCCCGTGACAATCCGAAGATTGTTCTTACTCAGACCCAGGAAGATCTGTGATTTTTCTTCATCATAAGCCCTCAGAAACTTCTTCGAGTGTCTTAGACCATTGGAAAATTTCCATTCCAGGTTGCGGATGGAATCTTCCAAGTTCTTGAGTTCCGCCTTGAGTTGGTTACCACTTGGAAAGCAGAACGGTTCTGGTTCAGTTAGTGGAGTGTTCGCTGCTTTCCTAGCTAGATTATTTGCTTTTTCATTGCCTTCTATCCCTTGGTGAGCAGGCACCCAGTGTAGGAGGACTTTGTTTTCTTTGCCTAATTTATTCAGCTTCTCTATGCATTCTTTGACCAATTTCGAATTGATTGATACTGAGTTGATCGCCTTTAACGCTGCTTGACTATCAGACAAGACGGCCATTTCTTGTTTCCGATAGTTCATATCTAAGATAAGTTGTACGCATCTTTCGATAGCGTAGATTTCTGCCTGTAGGATATTAGGGTAAGTGCCCATTGGTTCGGAGTATTTAGCTCTTGGCCCAAACACTCCGATCCATGTTCCCGTATTGGTTTTGGAAGCATCAGTATACCAAGTTATGGTATGGTCTTTTAACTGCTGGGCAAGCGTTTCGCTCTTCCAATCCTTTTTATTGCTCAATACTACATTGAGATGTTTCTCAAAGTTGTACGTTCTTGGCATGTCGTCCACTGGGAGTTGCAGGAGTGGTATTTCCTTTTTAGGGTGTTCCAAGCCCCTGATCTGACAATTCTCCCAGTACTCATTCCGTTAGTGACCATTCTAATCATTGTCGCATTGGCAATCTACCAATGACAATGTGCAGTGGTGTTAGATCTAGAATAACCTCCATTGCTGCTGTTGGACAGGTTCTCATGGCTCCTGTGATGCAAACACAGAGTCTCTGGAGTCTGAGTCTCTGGACTTTGCATAGGTTTAGCCTTGCCGTCCGTTGCTCTAGTTTTGTGTACCAGGCAACTGCTCCATAAGTAATCATGGGTCTTACTATCATGGTATACATCCAGCGCAAAATGTTAGGGGAGCAGCCCCATCTATTTCCCGCCAGTCTTCTGCATATCATGAGAGCCTTTATGGCTTTGCTGGTAGTGTTCTTAATATGCCTGTTCCACAGGAGTTTACTGTCCAGGGTTATTCCCAGGTATTTAACTTCCTGTGTTGGCAGTATTTCCTTTCCATCTAGTTGGATTCTTTTCAAGGTTTTCAGACTTCGCCTTCTGGTGAATGGCACTATCGCGGTTTTTTCTGAGTTGATACTCAGCCCGACAGTCCTACACCATCTCTCAGTGATACGGAGTCCTCTTTGGATAATATCACACAAGGTGCCTTCATGTTTCCCCGAGCGATCATGACTATGTCATCTGCATACCCAATGCAGTGTATTCCCGCTAGAGTTAATTCATCTAGTAGTTCATCCACCACCAAGCTCCACAGCAAAGGGGAGGTTACTCCACCTTGTGGAGTTCCTTGCGTTGTTTTAACAGCTACAGTTTTGGTGCCCATCTGAGCCTCTGCTGTTCGTGTTGACAGCATTTCCCAAAACCAGCGAATAATAGTTCTGTTCACAGAAAATGTAATGAATGTATGAAAAAAAAAATCGAATTTTATGCGGACGAAATAGCGGTAAAAAACTAGTTTTACATAAGAACCGCAAGAATTATTGTGTCAGAACTGATTTTCATGCAGACTAGTGTTTTTTACATCAAGTGTAAAAAATTAGACGTAATCTATTTCAGTTCCTAGCAGTGCTCCTGTTGATATTAGAGCTGAAGCAAAAACTTCAACCGAATTGGTGGTAACGTGGGAACCACCCCCCAGGGAGACTTGGAACGGTAACTTGTTAGGGTACCACGTAGGCTATCAAGCCATGGACGAAGAAAACAAAAGCATATCTCTGAGCTATGTGTTCAAGAGCGTAGAGGTTAGATTACATTATGGTGGAGAGGCCATTTTACAGGGTCTTTCGAAATATACTACGTATAGCATTATTGTACAGGTATAGATATATAGTAAACGCCACGAATGTTTGGGAGTGATTCATCGGTCGCTACCATGTACCAAACCAAACCAAATCAAACTAATCTGTTCGTGGTCACATAAAACTTAATTCCAGTGCCGTGGTGTTTCAAGTCATATAATAATCAATATATAATCTGTTTATGTTTTTGTAATTATTTGGGACCCTGCCTTTTTTAATAAATTATGCAATAGTACCTCCTGGACTCGTGTAACAGGGAGCAAAGGGCCATCGATAAAATTTCAACTACAAACAAAAGCACCAAGGGGTAAGACCATCTTACACACTAAATTTATCTGTTAATTTACCCCTTAGCTCAAATCTCGTACTTACCGATGGTTTCACTAACAAAACAGTTTAAAAATATCTAAATTTATACTAAAACACAAAAATAAAATAATCAATAATATGGAGCATTCCAGCAAACTGTCAAAGTCTTGTCTAAACATATATTTGGTTATAAATATAAACTGGAATGCCCCATTGGTCGCACTGCAAGCACACCAATGGACTGACGCACAAAAACGAATCAATCAAAGAAACGCGATACATTGTCGTCTTTGTTAATCACGCTAACATTTTAGAATAAGCAGGAGGAGAGCAGGCAGATGATTAGATCGGGCCTATAAAAACCTACGTCTGCGGTAAAAATTTACGTTTTTAATGTAAAAATGATAGCGCGCGTGTCGATTCTAACTTCATCAAGCGATGAATCACTCCCAAACATTCGTGGCGTTTACTATATTTTGTTTTTGAAGCCACACTAATAAGGAATGATTCAAAGAGTTTTGTAGTTCTGTAACTGACTATAGTTAACAAGGTAGTTTTCAATAAAATCTTAAAAAAACTTTTAATGAACTATTTGCAAAAAATCCTTTTTTAAATCTCTTTTTACACAACTCTTTCAAACATTCTTCATCTTCAAATACAAACAAAATTATCTTAATACCTATTTATTTCTACACCAAAATGACATTGCCTAGGCTTACAACAGTAGGGGTTCTGGACCAGCGAGTGATCCAGTAACTGCAAGAACGTTAGAAGATGCTCCATCTTTGCCTCCAGAAAACCCCCAATGCTCTGTTTTGAATGCTCAGAGCCTTCATATATCTTGGGAACCACCTGCTTTTGAAGGAAGGAATGGTATAGTCCAAGGATATAAAGTTACTTACCACTCAGTAGGAGAATGGTATGGTAAGTATATGGGGACTTCTTCTAGATAAATATTTTTTTTATTTAACTGTTTTAAAAATAATTTACTTTAAATACTTTTTCATCAATTAACATAGCATAGTCATATAACTCTATTTTTTTTACCACAGATAATGATGATCAGCAGACCAAAATCATCAACCAATTGAGAACCACCATATCTGGCCTGAGAAAATTTACTAACTATAGTATCACAGTACTGGCCTATACCGGAAGCGGTGATGGAGTACGATCGTCTCCTGTCTACTGTCAAACTGAGGAAGATGGTAAATATCTCAAACACAACTTTATTGTTTTTACTATTATTGACATGGAACTTTTTCATACAATTTTTTTTACAAAAAATAGCTGTCACAGATTTGGACTGAATAAGCCCACGGCTAAACAGAAAGCGATTTTTTCGAGTTTGGTTTGGTTAGGTGTGAAGCGTTTTTTCGTCTTATTTATATAGGGTTATTCACCTATGTTGCCATATTATCAGGAAATTATGTTTTTAACTAAAACTAAAAAAAAATCCAAAATTTTTTAACAGAAACTGTTTTATAGTCTGTCCAACGACAAGATCCTTGACAGTGATAGATGTGTCTGTCATTTTAATTTCAAAGTAGTTTATTTTATTTTACAAAGAAATAAGTTGGTACAACTGGAACGCATAGCAGGAAATTAATATATTTAAAATTTGACTGATAAGTGATTACTTCAAAATATTGTGAAAAAAAAACTGTATAAAACTGAAAAAATGTAATCGGGTTATTTTGTTTAAAAAAACGGTATAATGTTAATACAAAACAAACAAGAACAAAACACCACATCCCAAAAAAATATAAAAAAGAACTATTTCTTACTTTCAAGCTTCAAGAAACTTCCAGCATTTATTGAAAAATCGAAAAAGCCCCAGTCATGACAACGTGCATGCAGAAGTTCTTAAAATATTTGACTCAAAGCATCTCACATATCTATTCAATCGAATATACGATACGGGTAAAATTCCAAACGACTGGCTAAAATCAAATTTTATAACAATTCCCAAAAAGGCTGTAGTGACTACAGACTTATAAGCCTAATGAGTCATGCTCTGAAACTTTTTCTTCGAGTCATGCATGCTCGTATATACTCGAAATGTGAAGAAAAAAGCGGAGAGACACAGTTCGGCTTCATCAAGGGGCTGTGTACCAGAGAGGTTTTGTTTTCAATCAAGCTACTAATCCAGAAATGTTATGATCAACGCCAAGATGTTTTTGTATGCTTTATAGATTATCAGAAGGCTTTCGACAACGTTAAACACGATATTCCCCTAAACAGACTGCTCGAGATAGGAATAGACGCCAAAGACATTAGAATCATACAGGAACTATATTGGAACCAAACCGCGGAGATAAGAGTTAACAAAAATGTATCCACAGACACCTTCAATGTGTGTCAAGTCCGCCAGGGCTGTATACTGTCACCAATACTTTTTAATATATACGTTGAAAAGATATTTCAAATGCCCCTGGAAGGAGAAAGTGGAGGAATTAAGATTAACGGAGTTCCAATTAACAATAGAAAGATATGCAGATGATACGGCAATACTAGCACCAACTTTAGAGGATCTCCAGAAAATAATAAATAAGATAGGGGACATGGGAAATCGTTTCGGTCTTAAAATCAACGCTGCCAAGACCAAACTTATGGTAATAGGACGCCAGTCTACAATCAACACCGCATTGACCGTGGATGGAAATATTATAGAGCAGTTCCACGATTTAAATATCTGGGTGCCATGATGAATGAACGATGGGACTGCGATGAGGAAGTTAAACTTAGAAGGAATTATGCAATGTCAACATTTTTTAAACTTAAAAACTTCCTATTAGCACGCAGTCTCCCGCTAACACTTAGACTACGGGTAGTAAAATGCTACATATGACCTATCTTACTATACGGCGCAGAAACCTGGTCTCTCAAAGCTAGAACCCTGAACCGCATCGAGGCTTTCGAAATGTGGGCTCTTCGGAGACTCTTACGTGTGCCACGGACCGCACATGCCACCAACGAAGAAGTTTTAAGAACTGCCGGCTATGACGAGAAATGCTTAACATAGTTAAAGAAAGGAAAGTCTCATACCTCGGCCATATCCTTAGAGGAGACAAATATTACATTCCTAAGCTGATTCTACAAGGAAAAATAGAGGGACGGCGAGGCCCAGGAAGAAAACAACATTCCTGGCTAAGAAACATACGGGATTGGTGTAACATCAGCGACGCAGCCACCATATTTCGAAGAGTCGAAAACGGCAGTCTACACATTGTATGAAGAGTACAGACAATCGCCAACGTGCGGCTAAGCACAAGGCACAGGAAGAAGAAGAAATAAAACAGACTATTTTATTAATTATAACAGTTACCAAATTTTATACCTTAAAGGTTGATTAATTAACTTTAATCGTAATTTTTTAAACCAGTACCTTTTGACATTATTTTTCTGCAGTACTAAAATCCATTAGCGATGATCATGTGATGTCGATATTTTACAGCTACTCCAGTAGTATGTTTAGTACGATCCTTGTGTAGCATATACGAGATGCACTTATCTACGACGAGATGGTATACAAACTTCATTGATGGTAACTTTATTGGTGTATAAGATTTTCTGCCTGGGCAGCGATTATTAACTATAAACTGTGCTCTGGGTCTACAGTTAATTTTCCTTCGATTTTTCCTCCACTTGACTTCAAAAGACACAAAACGTACGTAATAGCACTAATCAAAATGCATCTTCTTCCAAAACGCAGATATTTGACATAAGTTGACACAACATTACAACCTATAATTTGGCAAGACTTTGACAAGCCTCAAAAATCTAAAGGCGAGTTCATACGCGTCGGCGTCCGTTTTTCGTTCATCGTTCCCTCAAACTAATAAAATTGAAATATGATCTGTCATTTTTGAAATAAACCAATAAAACTGGTTTAAAACAACAAGAGACGATACATGACGGATTTATATTTAAAACGATCTATAGTTAACTTAAAAAATAATAGAAACTTTTTTGAGTAAAATAAATAGATTGGTATGGAACGTCATCTGCTTTTCTTCTGTCATCGTCTGTATATAGGAAGCGCTTCTTTGATACTAAATAAACTATGACCACACTAATAATCCCAACACAAAAGTAAAGATATTGCTTTGATTGACATTGCTTGTTTATTTTTAGTTCCATCCGCACCATCGGATATCAAAGCCGTTCTCAGTGCTCCCAACAAAATTTTGGTGTCATGGTTACCGCCTAAATTTAGTAACGGACCTCTAACCGGTTATACATTTTATATGAGCGTAGTGGAGGACGGACAGGAAGAAGGTACTCACAAGAGAGTACTGGGACCTGGGACGGAAATGCACGAAGTGGTTAGAGCACACGATACGGCAACGTTGCAATTCTGGGTTACCGCATCAACGAGGGTGAGTGACTTATAGCTTTATCCAGTGTAGTTTTATCCAGTCTTCCCCACTTAGTGTAGTCTGGCAGAACTCTTTGTTTTTAATTCAGGTGTATTTTTTTTATTTAAAGTTAATAAATTTATTTTTAAAACTTTTTAAATGTTTTTACAGATTGGAGAGGGTGAAAGCACTAAAATTATAACCGTCACCCCGTCCAAAAATGTTCCTGCAAAAGTCGCTTCTTTCGGCCGAGAAATGGTCAGTGCCTGGAAACAGGATATTTTCCTGCACTGCAAGAAAGTCGGCATACCATTGCCTTCGATCAGTTGGAAAATGAACGAAAAATCTTTAGAAGTTGGAGGTCGAAGATTCATTTTATCCAACGGGACACTGGTAAGAAAATGCCAAGTCCTATATCCGTGAAATATTGGGATGCCCTGTATAAGTTTGGGATTTATTAATATAATTTTCAGTTAATCAAAGATATTCAGAGCGTGGATCAGGCAAATTATACGTGTACTGTAGAGAATCAGTATGGAAGGGACGAGATAACTTATACCTTGAGGGTGATAGTACCACCAGATCCACCAATACTCAATGTGGTGGACGCTTTTACTGATAGTTTGCAGTTGAGGTAGGCACATTATATTCAAAAATTGTAATTTTTTATTTGTAATAATTGATGTCCACTGCAAATCAGCGACATACTAGACATAGAATAGAAATTCAACGAAAAAAAGTGGGAAAGTAGAATATTAAAATTTAGAAAGATATTGAAATATGTATGTAGAAAACCTTTGAATATAAATGTAAACAAAAATATAGAGAACAAGTGACAATAACTGTCAAATCGATTGATCTCAATCATTACGGATCATTCGGTCAATCAGTCACTAGTGTCACAAGATTGACAAGAAAACTCTCACTTCACTTCAATCCACTGTTAGGTGATACAAAGTTAGCCGGATCAGTTAGTAAGAAATAAAAATAAATAAAAATAACAAAAAAAAATAATATAAAATAAAATAAATCGAAAAGAAAATCATGAAAAACGAATAAAAAAGTTATAAAACATAAAATCACATGTTATATTATTGAATAAATTTTAAATCGTTTCTTTGTAATGAATTTAGATGGTCTGACAAGGGAAATGGAGGTTCGCCTATTCTAGGTTATGTTATTAACTATAAAAGAGATCACGGAGACTGGGAAGAGCTTCAAATACCCGCCAGAACGGACGAGCATATGTTGAGAAATCTTTGGTGTGGTAGCAGGTATACCTCTAAATGTTATAACATTAATTTGATTGTATAATTTTGATGATTTTTTGTCTTAGGTATCTACTATATATCACAGCTTTTAATAGGATAGGCACAGGTTTGCCTAGTGATATTGTAACTACTCATACAAAGGGTACAGGTAAGTTTCAAGCTAATTTAATATTTAAATTGAACATGTACTAATTGTCTCTATCAGTAGTAGGCAAGCATTTTTTAATTAATAGCTGTCTTTCAATTATTAGTAAATCTTAATATTTATTAATAATGATTGTTATACTATTGTTATTATAATAGCCTAAGACAGTTCAGCATTGGAATCTGGAGAAATTGTATCTTTACTAAAATTACTAATTTTATACTCAAGATTATCAAAGAAAATATTCATATTCAAAATTGGACCAATAATTTAGCTGTGTATTTATTTTAGTGCCTGTTCAGCCCAAGCAATCGCAGATGTTAACTACAAACGCAACAGTAGCAACGGTTTGGTTAGACTCATGGGGAGATGGTGGTTGTGGCATACTTTATTTCTCAATTTTGTACAGGTACTTTAAGGTCTTAGGATTAATGGTATTTTACTTTTTTATTGTAAATTCTATCCAACAGCTCAGGGAGAATTTCGCCAGAGGACGCCCAAAAAAAAACGACAGAAAATACAATTTAACTGTGCATTAAAATGACACAATTATCGCTATCATATAATATCTTCTTGTTGGACAGAGTATATTAAAAAATAGAATCTAATAAAATTATTAGTTAAAAATAAAAGATAAAACTTGCGATTTAAATGAATCAAGAATTTGCAGTAAAGGTTAATTTACCCGTATCGAGTAACTAAAAATGTGTAAACATTTTTCCGTACCAATCACTACCACGAACGGTGCAGGTGATCAGTGATTCTGGCGCCAGCTACTGGATGCTGTAAATTAGCCTTTACATGACATTATGGATTATTATAATGGACATTTTAAGGCACAAGTACATGGTATAAGTACAAAAATTCTAAATTAAACACATACCTATTTATTATTGTAGAGCTGCACATCATAATGCGTGGATAACAGCCTCCAACCATATCAAGCCAACAGAACGCATCTACAGCATCACAGATCTAGTGCCCGCCACTGAATACCGACTCAGAGTTTCAGCTCACAATAACGCCGGAGATACAGAAATGGTTTATAATTTTACTACATTAACCTTTGCAGGAAGTAAGTAAATAAATGTAGTAAAAAGGCCTTTATGTTTATATTAATATTCTGGAGAATATAATAGTAATGCAAATGAATTGATACTATTCTGAATTTTAGTAGTGCCTGAACTATCTCCACCGGTTTCACATTCTGGGGACCAGTCATTCTACTTCAACATGAAAGTATTGCTGCCCATGTTGATCTCGATACTCGTATTAGTACTCCTCATAGTAGCTCTATTTTGGCGAAGAAGTAAGTAAACATTTATTGTAGATTATATGGGAGGGGGAAGTTTTATAGATCTATTTTTTATTCCTTTCTTGACTTATAACTCATCATCATGATTTTGACAAAAGCCAGTATATGGGACGACTTTACAGTTGTTAGTTTCCCCATTTTCCCCACATAATCTGCATTGGTGTTGTTTCTTAGGTTCAATCTACTGAGCTGTTCGTTGAGAGGTTGTAAAAACCCCGTTATAATCTGAAGATTGTTCTTCCTTAAATCAAAGATAATCTTTGAGAATCTCTCGAGAGAGAGAGACACCCGAAGAAATTTCTCAGGACTTACAACCGTTGGAGGTTTCCCATTCCAATTTACAGATGGAGTTTTCCAGGTATTCCTTTAAGTTGGTTTCCATTTGGGAAGCAAAACGGTTCTGGTCCAGGCAGTGGGGGTGTCTGCTTCTTGGAGGACTTTTTTGCCTAATATATACAGATTCTCTTTGCATTTTTTGACCAACTTCGAGTTGATGGATACTGAGTTGATTACTCTTAAGGCTCCTTGACTACCAGATAAGATGGATATTTCTTGTTTCCGATAGTTCCTATCTAAGATAAGTTGTACGCATCTTTAGATAGCGTAGATTTATCGCCTGAAGGATACTGGGGTAGGTGCCCATTGGTTCACAGTTTTTGGTTTTTGACCCAAATACTTTATTTTGGAAGCATCGGTATACTACGTTATGGTATTGTGTTTTAACTGCTGAGCAAACGTTTCTCTCCTCCAATTCTTTTTGTTGTTCAATACTACAATGAGGTTTTATATTATATCGCTCATTACTATATTAGAATAGTATTCGAATAATCCTTCCTTAAGTCTTTTTATTCAGATAGGGTACAGATATTAATTGTAACAATCATGTTCTGTTCCAGGAATAGTCCAAGAGCGCAACTCCCACGACCAATCCCTGCACGAATCACCCTCCATCGCCCAGATCCAGAACAAGCAGAACCGCGACCAGCAGTACCTGGCGGTACGCGCCGGCCGTGGACCCCAGCCTCTGGACATCGACGACACGTACAAACCGGAATCGTCCGACTATATCGAGGACATCTGTCCCTACGCCACGTTCCAGCTGTCCAAGCCGACGTACAGCGAGAGCTCGTACAGCGGCAACGTGTACAGCGGGCCGTACCACTCGGTACGCGGTTCTTTTGTTTATCATGACGTTAAACCGCCACCTAGCGATAAGTTTAAGTTGGGCCATGTAAGTTTCATCGTCGTTTTGGTTCTGTTTCGCACTCGTACACGATCATGAGTTTTTAAGTTGTGTATTTAAATCGTTTGGAGGAAATAGTTAATAAAATAATAAATAGTTCCTCGGTGAGTTGGACATGTTTGATTTGGTAAAACTTTACGTCGTTTTAGGTGGTTGAACATGCGATAATATCAACGCTCCTACTGAGTAATCAATCTTCACCAAGAGAAACTTAATAAAATTGTAGTTTATATCCATCATATGCTCGGTGTCCTATATTAGAATCCTAGATCAAATGTACTTACGTGGATATATCCCGTGGAATGCTCACTACATTGCCAGGCCACATGACCCACCACTTGTGACGACACTGAAGGAAACTATAGGAACTACCGTCAAGGCTAAGCAGCAAGAGACGTGTTAACACCGTGGGGACTGCGCTACAGCTCGAAGACTCAAGCTCTCAAGACACAAAACAACTACTAGACTACAAAAAGAACCTAGTACAAATAATTGTATGTGTCATCACTGAAAACTGCCCCATGGGGGTAAACCTCGTGCTGTGCCGCTGTCCGGCACTGAAATACCGACGTTTTAAAATTTTATGGCACGTTTTTTGGGAGGGACTAGAGGAAGCAGCAGAAGCCAACATTAGCGACGTCAGGAACTTTGCGAAGAGCTGAAAGTGCTTAACGCAAAGAAATAATGAGGGGAAGGTTTGGTATACAGGGATATCGAAATGGGCCTCCGAGTGAGGGATCAAACAGGATCCCGTACCCCAGCAACCTAACCTACATGGATATATCAATTCCATAAAATTTACATTAGAAAATTCTAACATCACGAAATGCCATATTTATAATACCATCTTTATTGCATTTATGACGTGTTCAATAGATTTGTCCTGTCTGATGATCTTTACGCAAGCGCATTAAAAATTGAACTTATTTCCGATATAATTATATATTTAATAGGGTTGCGCGATGCATAATTTTGCATTAATTTCATACAAAATATACCTATTAGACCATTTTTTATTTCAATTGGAATTATTTACTATTTGATAAAAAAGATCGGAGCATGCAACCATCTAAAATACAGTTTTACATGTTTTCGCTAATAAATGTTATATTAATAATTATTATATTAAGATTAATCCGCATTTTAAGGTTTTCCGTTTTTGCATCTCTCATTTGTAGAAATAAATTTCTAATGTCTTTATCTAGGCAAAAAAAACAGTTAAATCATCTGTTTCATAATTATTTTTTCGGGATTTATGTCATATTTTCTTTTTGTTGGCATTTAAATATATTTTCACCACAAACCATTTCATCAGTAAATTCTACATTCCAGCCCATACATTTTAGTCATTATGAGTATATCTAATGTTCACTATATTTGCTATTAGAGTAAATTATATTATTATTATGATTATTAACTTTATTTTACTTAATAATTAAATTTTTATAATGGAAACTTATAAAATTAGTTGGTTATTCTTCATTATACTTCAGTATCTAATAAATTAAGAAAATGCACAATCTTGAGATATAGGATTCACCTGTTGTGTTTACACACTTTTGCAATGAACTTGAAACCTGCAGAGATGTACATGTTACAGTAAAGGCCAGCAATCAGTAAATTTTCACAATTACTAGTAAAGCTGACATTCACTGATTTGCTAACACTACGCCAGTAAAAGTTCAATAACAAATTTTGAAACAAACTTTTACTAGTAAATGATAGCGTTCATTGGAACTTACTAGTGAATGCTAGCAATAGAATTTGATGTGCTCTTTGACTATCTTCTAGCAGCTGCTGGTAATTTATTATCCTGAAATTACAATCGGACATTAAAAATCAATACAGTCAAAACAATCAAACTTGTATTAAAACCAAAAAATTACAATGGCGCAAACGGATCGTGGCTATCTTGGTCGGTTTCGAAGCTACAGGGGGATTCTCAAATTTTGTACTTTTTGAAGATGTTCGATAGTTTGTTTATTTCAGCAACCACGGAAAAATGAATTATACATTCTAAAGGCACTTTTCTGTATAGAATGCAGTGGCGTAGTCAGACTTTTTTCGAAAAAAATATTTTTTGAGATATTAATATACTTCTGTTTTTTTTTTAAATAGAACCCCCTGTATATTTTTTAATTTTCTAATTCAGCTTGGCATGGGCTTCTCGAAAATATATAACACTCTATATTTATTTTCACTATTAACCTCATAGTAGGCCGCGCCGAGTAACAAAGTAATCGGTTATCATGGTGATCGGGACATACCTTTGATGGATGCGTGACATTTCATCTCAACAGATTGAAGTGTGTGTATTTTAAATAATAAAAAAATGAGTAAATTTGAAAATTTTAAGAAATATAATGTTAGGATGTTATATTGAGTCTAACAAACATAAGCAAATGGCAGCTGATTTATATTTTGAGCGGTATCCAGAGCGCGAGCAACCAAACCCAGCCATGTTTAAAAGGTTAGAAGATAGTTTAATCAATTTTGGATCTTTTCAAAAACCCCGTCTGAAAAATTATCAGAAAGAAGATGAATAAAATCAATACATTAATGTCCTCGGAGCCGTAACACTAGATCCGGAGACGGTACCAAGTCTGTCTAGATAATAAGGGACAACGCCGCAGTCTGAACATTTAATATAGTCTTTGTGTTTTTATTTTCTTTCTTCTGTTCTTTTGTTTCTGTCACACTTATTTTTTATTTGCTTCGTATTGTTCAATTTTATTTAATTGCTAATTCATGTATTCGGCTCCGAGGACATTAACATATTGATTTTCTTCATCTTCTTTCTGATAATTTTTCGGACGCGGTTTTTGAAAAGATCCAAAATTGATTAAACCATCTTTTAACCTTTTAAAAATGGCTGGGTTTGGTTGCTCGCGCTCTGGATACCGCTCAAAATATACATCAGCTGCCATTTGCTTATGTTTGTTAGATTCAATATAACATCCTAACATTATATTTCTCAAAATTTTCAAATTTACTAATTTTTTTATTATTTAAAATACACACACTTTAATCTGTTGAAATGAAATGTCACGTATCCATCAAAGGTATGTCCCGATCATCATGACAATCGTTTACTTTGTTACTCGGCGCGGCCTACTATCTACTAAGTGGATATTTTAAGAAAAATTTGAAATGTTGAGGTTAATAGTGAAAATTAATATAGAGTGTTATATATTTTCGAGAAGCCCATGCCAAGCCGAAATATAAAATTTAAAAATATACAGGGGGTTCTATTTAAAAAAAACATAAGTATAGTTAATATCTCAAAAAATATTTTTTTCGATAAAAGTCTGACTACGCCACTGCATTCTACACAGAAAAGTGCCTTTAGAATGAATAATTAATTTTTCCGTGGTTGCTGAAATAAACAAACTATCGAACATCTTTAAAAAGTACAATACTTGAGAATCCCCCTGTAGCTTCGAAACCGATCAAGTTAGCCACGATCCGTTTGCGCCATTGTAATTTTTTCAAAAAAAGAGAGACCGCAGTATCAAAAATTGGGCATCAAAACTGTAGCTGTTAAAACAACGCAAGGAACTCCACAAGGTGGAGTAACATCCCCTTTGCTGTGGAGCTTGGTGGTGGATGAACTACTAGATGAATTAACTCTAGCGGGAATACACTGCATTGGGTATGCAGATGACATAGTCATGATCGCTCGGGGGAAACATGAAGGCACCTTGTGTGATATTATCCAAAGAGGACTCCGTATCACTGAGAGATGGTGTAGGACTGTCGGGCTGAGTATCCGCGATAGTCAGCCGGGCTGTAGGACTGTCGGGCTGACAAAACCACGATAGTGCCATTCACCAGAAGGCGAAGTCTGAAAAACTTGAAAAGAATCCAACTAGATGGAAAGGAAATACTGCCAACACAGGAATTTAAATACCTGGGAATAACCCTGGACAGTAAACTCCTGTGGAACAGGCATATTAAGAACACTACCAGCAAAGACATAAAGGCTCTCATGATATGCAGAAGACTGGCCGGAAATAGATGGGGCTGCTCCCCTAACATTTTGCGCTGAATGTATACCATGATAGTAAGACCCATGATTACTTATGGAGCAGTTGCCTGGTACACAAAACTAGAGCAACGGACGGCAAGGCTAAACATATGCAAAGTCCAGAGACTAGCATGCGTTTGCATCACAGGAGCCATGAGAACCTGTCCAACAGCAGCAATGGAGGTCATTCTAGATCTAACACCACTGCACATTGTCATTGCATATATGCCAATGCGACAATGATTAGAATGGTCACTAACGGAATTAGTACTGGGAGAATTGTCAGATCAGGGGCTTGGAACACCCTCATAAAGGAAATACCACTCCTGCAACTCCCAGTGGACGATATGCCAAGAACCTACAACTTTGAGAAACATCTCAATGTAGTATTGGGCAATAAAAAGGATTGGAAGAGCAAAACGCTTGCCCAGCAGTTAAAAGACCATACCATAACTTGGTATACTGATGCTTCCTAAACCAATACGGGAACAGGGATCGGAGTGTTTGGGCCGAGAGCTAATTACTCCGAACCAATGGGCACTTACCCTAGTATCCTACAGGCAGAAATCTACGCTATCGAGAGATGCGTACAACTTATCTTAGATAGGAACTATCGGAAACAAGAAATAGCCATCTTATCTGATAGTCAAGCAGCGTTAAAGGCGATCAACTCAGTCTCAATCAATTCGAAATTGGTCAAAGAATACATAGAGAAGCTGAATAAATTAGGCAAAGAAAACAAAGTCCTCCTACACTGGGTGCCTGCTCACCAAGGGATAAAAGGCAATGAAAAAGCAAATAATCTAGGTAGAAAAGGAGCGAACACTCCACTAACTGGACCAGAACCGTTCTGCTTTCCAAGTGGTAACCAACTCAAGGAGGAACTCAAGAACTTGGAAGATTCCATCCGCAACCTGGAATGGAAATCTTGCAATGGTCTAGGACACTCGAAGAAGTTTCTGAGGGCTTATGATCAATAAAAATCACAGATCTTCCTAGGTCTGAGTAAGAACAATCTTCGGATTGTCAGGGGTTTTTAACAGGACACTGTCTCCTCAATGAACACCTCAGTAGATTGAAACTAAGAAGAAACGGCGAATGCAGATTCTGTGGGGAAGATGGTGAAACACCAGTACACCTCATCACTGAGTGCGCCGAGACGACAACCATTCGTGCCATGAATTTTGGTACGACTGATATTGGAGATGGAGAACTACCCTCTATAAAACCGTCCCAGATACTGGCTTTTGTCAAAGCCCTGGGACTGTATGATGAGTTATGATTCAAGAAAGGGGGACACAATGGATCTGTAAGGTCGAAGTGATTAACCCCCCTCCCACTCATTCTAAATTCTAAAAAAAAATCAAAATTTGAATATTTCTTACGGTTTTCTAGATACCCTATAGAAACAACCAAAATGGTCCACCCTGTACAATAGAATGACTTTTACTGGCAACTTTTCTTACTGTCACTAGCGACGGCTAACAATTACTAGTAAAAGTCGACAAATTCCTTTAAACTACGACAATCACTGGTCCAGTGATTAATTCTTAGCATTTTCTAGTGATGTTAACATTTACTGGATTTCCAACTTTCACTGTAACATATACATGTATATATATTTATTTATTATTTATTTATAACTCTAAATTCTTAAAATTAATATTTTTTTCTTTATAGAATAAAGAACCAGAATACACAAAAGTTCGGAGAAAAGGCGGCAGGTTAAGAGATCCCCATTCGGAAAGTCAAGGTAAAGTTCTACTATTTTTTTAACATCACTTTCTTTTTTAAAAATCAACACGCAATTGTATAAAGCGCGCCTTTACCAGTTTTTCTATCTTAGAATCGGATAATTTGGGAAGTACCGACTCGGAAGTAAAGAAAATTCTGACGCTACACCTTCCCATTTCAGAGTACGACACGCTGGGCTCGGATTCTGAGGGGGATGCGCGCGCAGCCAGCCAGGATCTCATGTCATTCGGTCGTCGGATGAGAGGTAATGAAAATTTATATGGGCGGATATTCTGTTCCAACTATTATTCCTGATCAATTTTATTTATTGACAATAATTAATTTAATTGCTCATGGTCAATTTTATTCCGATATAAAAAGATGTTTTTCAGAATCATCAGAATATAATAATAGGAAATAATTTTACAAATACACATTCTGCTATGTACTTTATACACACTGTGCCAATTTTAAAACTTCCTACCCTTAATATCTTTCTTGCAGCTAAAAATATGAAAAGTCGGAAAGACACGTCAATTTTATTTTTTTATTGGGGACATTTTAAATGAATATGTGTAGTCCTTTTCTTTGATTCCCCTAGGAGAGGTAGATTTTACCTTTACAATCTTAAATGGGAATGGGGGTCAAATGGCACATCGTTTTAAAGGGGTTTACTTCTCTTTCCAGTGGTATCCTACTTTGTTGCTTTTTGTCCAGAGGTTTCCGAATAATCGCGTTTCAAAGTTGCAGAAACAATTAAACATGCCTGCATTGAGATTTTTGTTTTCAGGCTAGTATTGGCAAAAATTATTGCAATGGATCTCCTTGTAGTACATATGATTAGATTAGGTTACACCACTAACGCCCTATCTTATAAGTTGTTCAAAATGTTGTCCATTTTCCTGTAAACAATAATAAAGTCTGTTTTCAAACTCCTCCCTAACATTTCGGAAAACTTCACCGGGAATTGACCGGCATTCTGCTGTAATTCACCTTTCAAGATGAATATTAGTAGGTTGTGTTTGGTAAATAATGGATGTAAGATGTCCCCCAAAGAAAGAAGTCTAAGAGTGTTAAATCCGGTGACCGCGGATCTTCAATTTATCCCCTTCTGCCAATCCATGTTCCCGGAAATCTCTCGTTTAACCACTGTCGGACCGAAAGATGGAGCACCGTCCTGCTGGAATGTTTTACAAATCTTATTGTAAAACTGGATTACCCTCTGCATCAATTTGAGTTTCTAGCTCTTGGGTGATAAGAGGATCAATAGTCTCTTGAAGCATATTAAGATACAGATCACCTGTCAAGTTTCCTTCAATGAATACCAGCCCAAACATTAAGTTTTTGGTTAGGTTAGGCGTTTGCTTAATCCGCAAGCCCATATCTGCTATTCCTGAAAGGCCATCTCATAACTATCCTCTTAGGAATACGGAGCACGATCTTTATCTGCCAACCCCGAGCTCAGAACTAGTAAAAGTTCAATACTGTACAATGCCAATAAAATGTACAATCATCTGCCTTTGAATATCAAGTCGCTTTCATTCTTTCCCGCATTTCGCAAAGCTCTGAAATCATAGTTACTGGAGAGAGCCCTATATATGTGGTAAACGACTTTTTTGTTGATGTTTAATCATGAACAATTTTGAATTTTAAAATTTTGATCATCTCACGTACTGGTCAAAGGTCAAGTATTTAATATTTTTATAACTCCTAAATTATAACTCTTTAAATTATATCTATTTACAATCTTCCTATTGTAAACTTTTATTGATACGCCTTTTTTGTGTTCTGCAATTGTTCATGTATGTTATATTTGTAACTTTAATGACTTAATTTTTTTTTGAATTGTATGATTTGTATTGTATATTTTTTTTGTGCTTTTGTTTGTTTTGTAAATGCTTTGTCGATGAAGCTATTTTTGCTTTTTGCACAATAAAGCGTTATTTGTTGTTGTTGTTGGGGATATTGTGTATCTTTCTTCTCGAAAATATCCGGGTTTTCGACATTCCGATATCGACAATTTTATTATTTTGTTTGCTAATATTTCCATTTAGAAAAAATGGACATTTATCGCAAAAACAGATATTCGGCAGAATGTTTGGGTTGGCGTTAGCACAATTTCACAAAACCCTATTTTTTATCAAAATCATCGTCATAGAGTTCTTGAAGTATCTGAATATATACTCCCCTAGAAAAATACATAATACGCTACGTAATGGTTACGTCTATGTTGCCACCTAATCTTCTAATCATTTCTACCACAAGGAGACCCATTGCAATAATTTTTGTGTAAACACTAGCCTGAAAACCAAAATCTCAATGCAGGCATGTTTAATTGTTCCTGCAACTTTGAAATACGAATATTCGGAAACCTCTGGACAAAAAGCAACGATACCACTGAAAAGAGAATTAAACGCCTTTTAAAACGATGTGCCATTTGACCCCCATTACCATTTAAGATTGTAAGGGTGACATCTACCCCTCCTAGGACGTTGAAAGAAAAATGCTAAAAATATTAAATTAAAGTGTCCCCTTACAAATAAAATTGACATATCTTTCCGATTTTTCATGTTTTTAACTGCAAGAAAGATATTAAGGGTGAGAGTTTTAAAATTGACACAGTGTATAGTAGAAGAAATAGGTTCATTTATCACATAATCTGTTCTTACATCATAATCAATCACGATTTCTTTAACCGCTAGGTAAACTTGTTCGTACAGGTGGCGCTGAAGGATCCTCGTCTTCCTCCGAGTCGCCTCCTTCGGGCAGTGTAGGTCGCAAACCCTACAACATGGCCAAGGGCAAGGGAAAGGCTAGTGGTAAGGGCCTTAGGCACGTGCGCTCATCTAGCGGCTATTCCAGCCACAACGAAGAGACCACGTTTAGTATATCGCACGCTGCAAGTTTCAGCGATAGAATACATCCACCTACAAGGTATGCTCTTGTTTGTACCGGGTGTCCCGTTTTTGAGTCTTTTATAGGGATTTCCGTTTAGTAGTAGAGATATTGTGAGTGACAAAAAAGAAGTGAAACACCTATGTGCTGGCAACTGTTACTTTTGGGTCGGCATTTACATGTGTGGAAGTAAATCGCATAGGGATCTTATTAAGTTGGAGTGAGAGAAATGCGAGCGACCGACGCGACGCGCGACGCGGACGGTGCGCTTCGTCCCATGGACAAAAATCAAAAAATAAGTTAAAATTTACTAATATCTGAATATATAATTTTATACTTATAGCAATGTTCAACCATCCTGTATATTATTTTTCATAAACAGCGTTTTTGTTAGCAAATATTTTCACTAAAAATAAATTTTGCGATCATTATCTCATCAGTGAAAAGAATAACATTCATAGTAGTTCTGTATATTATGGAGTTAAACGGGTACGTACTTAATTGAAAGCCACTATGGATATTGTTAAACAAGGTATGTCCTTTAAATTTATTTCTAAACAAGTTCGTGATTGTTTAGTTTTTATTTATTTTTTAAGATGATTCTTAAATGGGTATAAAAATTTTACGTTTTCAAACTTCAAAAAGGCATTTAAAAAAAACATATCAAAACATATCGTATTTATTGAATATTTTTGTTGCCATATTTATACACTTTTAATTTTTGTATAGTTCACCTGCGTCTGCTTGCGACGAACTTTATTTTATAATACTTTTCAGATGGAGTAAAATTGATAAGCAATGCCGATCTGGCTAATACTTGGCTTGATCATAAGGAAAAGAACTCAAAATTATTTGTATTTCAAAAAATATGTTCTTATTAGATATTGGTGAACCTTCCAGTCAAACGAGACACCACTTGTGCCTGAAAAAGTCCACTATGTTGGAGCGAAACGTCGCATAAAAAAGTGTCCATCTTTCAATTTATTATAAAATCTCATACCCAAGAAAAGGAAAAAATAATATATGGATATGGTCTATTAAAGAGGTAACTATTAACATCCGAACCCCTCATACCGACAAAATGAACAGTAACAACGCGAAAAAGTAACATATTAGAAAATGATGTACAGAAATATCTTATATGTGAGGATACTTTATCTACCTGTGATTTGGATACTATAAATTTGGAAGATTCTGTCAGCAGTGATTCTCCTGAATCAGAGTAGTTACGATCTATGCATTTTGTTGTCCTAATGTAAATTTATAGTATCTTAAGTTTTTTTTTAATTGAATATAACATTAATGTTTCTTTTTCATTAAAGAAAAACATTTTTATCTTATATTAGGCTTATATTGTAGGAATCATGTTCTAATGTTATTTCAATTCTTTTTTATCACAGGAATTTATTTAATACTTACACCGTTTTCATACTATAACTTATTATTTGCTTAGATGGAACACAGCTCGAACATTATTAATATTTATAAGATTTTTTTTTTCATAAACGTGGGACTAAGAACATCATCATTTAGTACAATGAGAGTACTCATCATTTTTGTTAAATAAACCTAGTTTGAATAAATTGCTTACAATAAAAGAGAAGTTTTGGATTTTTGTCCTCTAGAGCCATATGTTCAAAGCACTGTGCGGTGTGCTGTTGCGGCGTTGTCGATGCGCCTTTCCCTATCAAGTAAAGTAAAATCACGATCGCAAACCGCTTATTTTTAAAAGACTTTTTTTTATCAAGAGATAACTAGATAAAATCACTAGATATGTTTCTGAGCATCTGAAATGGAATTATAAGGATATCGTTAGGGTGTCATTTTTTTATAACGAGAAAACCGAATCGAACACCCACTCAATTCCACTTATTTTTACCAAAAATGCAAGTGTTTCTAGCTTGCGCTTAAAAAAATTCAAGCTATAGGGAAAATTACAACGACTCGTTAATAAATAAACAAATCAAGTATCACGAGACGTAATTAAATCGTAAAGCTGAACGCATGACGTACACCTTCCCCTAAAACTTAAGTACTGACAGAGGTATTGATTGGGTCGACCAGTCAACTGCGACAAATCTGCTATATCCCCTTCCACGTCTCTTAGCGATGTGCAGTTTCTCGGTTTATTTCATACGTTTGGCAACGTGTTTACTGTCCTCTCTTTGTTCAGTACATTATAAACGCATTGTACTTTTCTTGCATACGGAAATCTCGACCCAAGACTAACCTTTGCCAGCCCTTAGTATACAGGGTCCGGTATCTGTAGCTGCTAGAATAAAAAAAATGGAAAATTTGTTTAAGTGCAAACCTAAAGTATATACTAGTATCTATATCTTGAAAATATTTTAACTTCTACAAGAGGGCTCCAAAAAGTATGAGTGGATCGGGATGATTTTTTTTAAATAGAATACCCCGTATATTACTGCATTTTTGGCTTACTTTCCAGATCACTTTACATAATCCTAAGATATGAGTAAATATATTTCGAGATAGTTTTAGAGATAATAAAAAAATTGCATATATAAAATGCTAATGTTTATCTGTGTGTCGTCTCTACTGAAGTAATGACTTGCTCTAGAAAGTTGCTTTTTTTACTAAAAGATAGCTAATTGGCTCTGCTAAAAACTGTCGCCGGATTTTTAGTTTTTCATTTAATTAAAAAAAATAGAAGTATTTTTTCCCTGATGTCGTGGCGGATGCGCCAGGCTTTAACTAGTAAAAAATAAATATGTTCACCCTTTCTTAAAAAAATTATTACAAATACAGAAACTGTCCTGAAATCAAAACTATATTAGGTATTTACTTTAGATGGTCTATACTTACTTTGCTAGAAATATCGTAATCTTAAATCATACAGAGTGTTCAAAATTATACGCAAAACTTTTTAAACATAAAATAATTTTTCTTCGTTTTTTTCTAAATGCTAACACCCTGTATATTATTTTTTATTAAATGGAGAATTAAAAAATTAACGGTTTTGTGTATTTAGAGTATTTTAAAAATTTTAACGGTTGCGTAGATACTCGCGGTATTATTTCAAAGATAAAATACGAGAGAAAAATCATTGGATGGCTTTGATAAACGTTTGCTGTGCGAAATGCCATACCGTGTTGCAACTGTTACTTTTGGGTCGGTATTTACATGTGTGGAAGTAAATCGCATAGGGATCTTATTAAGTCGGAGTGAGAGAAATGCGACGGTGTACTGTAGCAGCGTTGCCGGTACGCCTTTCCGTATCAAGTAAAGTAAAATCACGATCGCAAACCGCTTATTTTTAAAAGACTTTTTTTCGAAAATATAACTAGATAAAATCATTAGATATGTTTCTGAGCATCTGAAATGGAATTATAAGGATATCGTTAGGGTATCCATTTTTTTATAACGAGAAAACGTTAGTAATCGCGATAATTTAAAATCTCAACTTTTTAACACATAACACGCCATAACTTAAGAACGGCTTTAGATATTGAAACTTTTTTTTTATTTAAAAGATCGGATCTTTTACAATATGTTTAAATAAGAAAAATTCGATAAGATTGTTTTTTTTTTCATTCAAAAATTTTAAACAACCAATCCATTTACTTTTAGTGCATTACAATTTTCAGCAATCGTGTAACTTTTTTATTTATAAAGATTTTCACATACTGTCTGCGAAGAAAATATAGCAGAAATGTTAAGAAAGTTTTAGAAAAAACTACAATCAATTATTTCTAATAGATTTCGAGATATCGATTTTTGAGTTCAGAGTTCTAATAGCGCGACCACTGTTGAACACCAACTCAATTCCACTTATTTTTACCAAAAATGCAAGTGTTTCGACTAGCGCTTAAAAAAATGTAATTTATAGGAAAAATTACAACGACTCGTTAATAAATAAACAGATAAAGTATCACGAGATGTAATTAAATCGTGAAGCTGAACGCATGATGTATACCTCTCCCTAGAACTCTAAGTACTGACAGAGGTAGTCATTGGGTCGACCGGTCGACTGCGAAAAATCTGCTATATCCCCTTCCACGTCTCTTAGCAATGTGCATAGTTTCTCGGTTTATTTCATAATTTCATATGTTTAGCAAAGTGTTTACTGTCCTCTCTTTGTTCAGTACATTAGAAACACAAGAAGGGTACATTCTTACATACGAAAATATCGACCCAAGACTAACCTTTGCCAGCCCTTAGTATATGAAAATTAAACCGCGAATATCTGCGAAACAGTTAAAAATTTTGAAATATTCTAAATACAAAAAATGTCCATTTTTTAATTCTCCATCTATTAAAAAATAATATAAAAAGCTACTTCAGAAAAAAATATCAAATTTTGATAAACTAAAAAATATAAAATATATGGTGTTCTCTTTTTTTTGTCAGTCAGTATAATTGCTGGGAAAACTCGCAAGTTCTCCTGTAAAGTACTATAATGGACATCTAGTTGTCTGTAATCTCAGATATGTTTGACTAATTATAAATTAACATGATAACTATTCACTAGTTTTGATCTTTTTTGTAAAAACCTACTAATTCTGTGATGATTTTCTAACTCTTTATTTCTTTTGACAGATTTTCTGACGTATCAATGCGGGATTTCACCGATAACGACTACGAAAAGGATCATAAACCTAGAGGGATCTCGAAATTAACTAGAGAAGCATTCCAAATAAATGTATAATACTAATTTGTAATAGAAGATATATAGGTTCTCCAGTGAGGAAATCAAGTGGAGAGAGTATATAAAGCGGTGGTAGATTTTGTTGTACCTTTTAATTAATACATTAAACATATGAAGACGAAATGAGGGAAGTTAAATTAAATCTTATTATATACAATGTTAAATATGGTGTGATAGAGCCACAATGGATGATAGTGTGATGCTATATATGAATTAGATTAGTTCGTTTTTATTTTATAATACACCGTAATGAAAACATTGATATTATGTGACGCCCTTGGAGAAATCAGTAAACCTAGTAGATATTCTATAAGAAAATCAGTAAAAGTTGACACTTCATCCAAATATTTCACAAATTCACGTCACAATATTGTCATGGCTACTTTTTTACTTTGATGTTTGACAAGTGTCAAATTTTATTTCAATTTTAGAAACAATACATATATTTTTTTATATCTATATTATTACTTTGTCTACACAAACAGAGAAATGTAAAGTTCTAATTGGCTAGCTGTAAATTGGTTCACTTTTTTTGGTATTCTATTCACGGTCCTTAAATTGATATTGAACGCAGCTAAAACAAACTGAAAGATCTATATGTTTTCATCAAAAGCCCCAAAAGTTATGAAACAATGTCAATGTTTGCCTCTTTAAAGCAGCTTAATCGCAAAGAAAGGTCACCTTGATTTCATTCCTGTTCATCTTAAAATGTTGTCAGATTTCATAGGAATAACAGATTAAAATAAACTAAAGGCTTCAGAACTGGCTTACAAATGGAGATCGTCGTCATTTTATACGTAGAATTATATAATGAACTTATGAAAATAACTTAACGTCATCTTTCTAGCTCATACGATAGATTTGTTGTAACTGACTGTAAACCAATTATTTATTTATACCGATCTGGCCATTGAAACTGCGTGGTCCGGATTTTAACGCGTAAGAAAGCGATGTAGACAGCTTAATGACAAATCAAATGCATTAAAAAGAGAGTTGAAGAGAAAAGTTGGGTTGATCCATTTCATCAATGCGGTATTGCCGGATTTTGCATCAAAATTTCAAACCGCACAAATAGGCTTTTACGAAAAATGTATTGCCTCTAGGGTTGGAACTTTATTTTTCACAAATAGTTACTCATTTTAATACAGCTGTAATATATTATATTTAGCTTAGATATACATAGATTATCTTCATTTCAGTAGTATACATGAAAGTTTTAAAATAGTTTATTTTTTTTCACATTGTCCTACACACGAAAAAACCGGCAACGCTGTATGCCGCTTTTTATTTTGTCTCTCTGTCTGTCAACCGGTCATTTATATTTATCTCTGTCGCATGCATTAAAATACAGACCACGGAGATGAACTGTCCATGATGGTATGTTCAAGAGCGTCTATGTTTACTTATTTCTTTGAAGAACGGGCGTCCATATTTTTGACACGTACTATTTTTGTTAAGGATTTAGCAGAATTTTTAAACGTAAGATTGATGTGGAGTAATCATGTTATACGAAGGTTATTCTGAATATACAACTATTTTCACCCTCTCAATAAAGAAAATAGAATGAAATTTATGACATTTTTGTGAGTGTTGTAAGCGTGGATTACAATGGTTTTGTAAAGCAGAGATATAGAGGTAGGCAGATTTAGTTTTAACGTATCCATAAATGTTTTAATGGCCGCCATGCCTAGCTTAGATCTACAGGGTACATAATAATAATAATAATAATAGCTTCCGTATATAGCGTTTAACGCCTTGGGAGCAGGGTTCGGAAGTAGTTAATTAAGACGTAATTTACCTGATTAACTACGTGTAGTTTTTCTTCAAAAACTACGTCTTTTCCCGTTCATTAACTACATGAAAACTACGTTAATAAACTATGTATTGATATTATGAATAATTTTCCTTTGTATGAGGTGTAATAGAGATAATATGATGTAAATATTATATTTAAAGCCATATTTCTCCTGTTTTCTTAAATACATTATATGTTTTTAAAGCTTCAACTTATTATAACTTCACCTCAAACCTTTGACATTTGAAAGTCACATACATAGGTTACATAAACTACACCCTCTACGTAAACTACATTAACTACATGTAATGTAGTTTATGTAGTTTTTAAAAGTAACATGTAGTTTTCCGAACCCTGCTTGGGAGTAGCAAAGTACAGCTTGCCATACTAGAGCCGTTCGGTATACAAGGAAGGTAATGTGGCTAGCACTACGCTCCAACCGCCTATTATTACCTCAGGATTGTGAATTCCAAGTACTCATTTAAGGCTGAGTCGACTTAGGTACCAAACTATTTTTATTTTAATAAAAATAGTCGGTTGATGAAATGCCGGGTGTGGGAATCGAACCCACACTTTGAGATTGGTAGACGAGAGCCCGTACCTCTACGCCACCGGGCACCTGAAATATATAGTAGCCTAATTATTGTTACGTGTTATTTTTAAAACTAACTAAACATGACCGTCAAGGAAATTATAGTCACTATTACTTTCTGACCTTCCCCTATAGACTTAAGCGAGAACATGGAGGTAACAGTGATTAGAATTTCTGCGCACGTTGATGCTCATTCTCTTTACCCCTATATCTCTGTTAAAACTACACAATATAAGGGCTGATTCACACATCGATCCTGTTCTAAACGCCATCTATACGTGGGTCTGATTAATAAAGCTTTAAGTGTAAATAGGTATAGATTTTACCAAATTCCATTAGGTATAGAAACATTAAGTGTTGTCTTTTTAGTTGCGTATTGTTAGACTAATATCTGGATGTATTTAGTTTATTGACCTTTGCATAACGCCTGACAAATACGATTTTACTTTTAATGGCCTGAAAACAAATAATTCCAATGTCACCATACCATGTAGATTGGTCTATGTTTAAAATAGCAGTGCAGTACAGTTCTATAAGAGATAGACATCATAATTCAATTGTGCCAAAAGTTTTTAGTAGATAAATTATAAAATCATCAAGATTAAAGTGCAATACAATACATACTACAAACTTTATAGTATAGTCTATCCAACAAGTCAGTGAAGATTTCGACAGAAGACATTGAAAAAATGACAGGAAATTTACCTTAATTACAATGACAGACACACCTGTCACTCTCATACTTATAGATAACCTTTGAATAAAACTAGTGATGGGAATAATCAAATTATTTTCACCATCGAATAATCAGTAATAATCCATATTTGACAATCGAATTAATAATTCGAATTATTTAGTAGAATTATAAATTTAACCTAAAAATAAATTCGTCTCAGCTAGTGCTCGTCTAGGGGCTATTTTAAACAAATCTGAACCATTGCCATACCTATATTCTATCACTGAATAAAGAATAAAAAAATATTCTTTATTCAATGTGTTCTATTAACTGTGCCGAAGCCGTTTAATAAATTAAACCATAATTTAGAGTTTTAAATATAAAAGTGCCGAGTTTATGATTGTTATTGTTATGGCCTTTTATAAACATTTCAATTCCTATTGAAAACCTCATATCTAAAATAAAAGCTTCTTCTAAAACGATATAAGTATGTCCTTGTTTACGTGCGGTTCGTATTTCTTTTTATTTTATCAGTTGCAATCAATAATTATTTAGATAAAAGAGGAAAATTAATTTTAGTGTTCGGCAGGTGTTCGGTGAAATTTGGGTGAGATTGAAATGAACCAAATAATAGTAGTATTCTTTCGTTCTGAACGAAATGAAAATTTTCACTTAAACTGATTCATTCCTAGGTGGTATAGGAAATAACAATGATTTCTGGATTTTTCTATATCGGATCGTTCCTTTCTTTGTCGATTCCCTTTATAAATCAGTTTAAGTGAAAATTTTTAATTCGTTCAGAAGGAAAGAATACTACTAATAGTACTAATTACTAATATTCGTCCATTAAGAGGTTGTAATTCGGTTACCACAGATATAATATAAAATACTACTAATTTTTATCTCGATTATATCGAAAAAGATAATCGAATTAGTTAGTTTTAATTTACTATCGAATTAGTCGTATTATTTAATTCGAATTTTCCCATCACTAAATAAAACGATTAAGGAAGGATTGATGTAGAAGGGATTGATGTAGTTGACTTAAATTTCAGTTTATCAGGGCCCTTCTAATTTTATTGAAAACGTGTAAAAACATAATATAGGGCAAACTCAATCATTTATTTTAACGTCAAACAGAACTGTCACAAATAGGCTTAATGATTCCATCTTTAATGCATGAATACATGAATAGAATTATACTTCTTTCTTAATATTTTTATTCAAAGACTATATTGACTGTACTGATTATATTTTGCAAATTTTCATATAGTTGTCTTTGTCTGAAACTTATAGAACTGTATGGGCGTCACCTTGCAATAGACTACAATAAAAAATGTATATTCTTTCGAAATAAGCTAAATGTTGCCATACTATAACTAAGGGTTGATTTACAGTGATATCAGTGATGTATAACTAAAGTCTGTCCAAGTGAAGAAATTAAGATTTTAAGAGATGTCATCTAAATATTGTCAGAAAATACCACCTGCCTTTAAATTAAAATGACAGAGAATAACTGTCACTGTCCTACTTTTCTTACGTTGGACATACTTTATATAATATACAGAGTGTTGATATGATCCCGTTGGGAGATACCTCACGTGAAAATAAGATTTTTTTATATCATTATAGGTCATTGTGCTGTCTTTCGTAGCTACAGGGAGTTAAAGTATTTTTTCCGTTTATTATAATTTGGTTTCAAGAGCTTTTAGTTATTCGAATTAAATTTTGAGGGTAAAAGTTACTATAATTGCTATATATTTTAATGCTAAAAAAGGGTTGACATATTATAGGATATTTAATGCGGATTAAAAGTTGTGTTTGATATTTTGTCGATTTCGATCTCCTTGATGAGATCAACGCAATGTCGACAAAATATCAAGAGACAACTTTTAATCGGCATTAAACGGTCTAGACCATTTTTCTAACAAGAGAAAAAAAAGTCAGTGGTGCACATATCTTTTTATTAAAATATTCCAGTGATAACCCATATGCACGTCCCTGGTGAATATGTCGACACTTTTTCAGCATTAAAATATGCCGCACTTCTAGTAAAATCACTTGGAAGAAAATTATAATAATTAATTAAAAAAAATAAGACTTTGACGCCCTGTAGCTATAAAACCCAGAATCGGACCTTTGTTGGTATAAAAAATAAATCTTATTTTTACGTGAGATGGAACATATTTTTTGAAAAACCCTGTATTATCAACGTTAATCAATCCCAAGTTTACTTTAATTCTTGTTAGAGGTTCATTTTTAGACAATTATAAAAATTTGTTTTTGGTATATTTTTTATACACATTTGTTGTTGGTTAGTCTTAATGCTGGAATGAATCTTGCGTAAATGGAGATACTAAATTTTAATAATAATAAAAAATATTATCATATCTGTTTTATACTAAAAGTGATTATAAGACTTTCTAGAAAAATTATTCGATGTGCAAATGAAGTACGTTTATGTCTATAGCGTGTCGTACATATAAATCTGTCACTAGTAATAATACATTTATATATTTCCGATAGATAAAACTGATATTTGTTGTCACATTTATCTGAAAATAACGATTTCAAATTAAATTATTGTAAAAATGTTAATCCAGTTATAATATTTATTTTGCATACATAAAAAAATTATAATAAAACTATAATTATATACCTACTATACCTACATTATAATATATTTTATAGTTATAATTATTGAACATACCGAGTTATGCATCGGCTCAGGACACATAGAAAATCCCATGTTAATTTTTAGGGTGTTTATTGGGTTTCCTATTGATTTTTGAATACATTTTTAATGGCACTTTTTAGTACATATATTAAGTACTGGATTACATCAGGCTATCTATCAATTTTAAGACTTTTCTGCTAAATCATTTTAAAATTATTTGCAAAATTAGGCCTTCAAATTGTAGATTGTAGTTTAGTTTAAGCATCTGCTGATGATGCTAACATGGTTAGCGAAATGCGCATACAGTGTAAAAGTAAAAGT